CGTTGATTTTTTTATGGACAGTATGAAGTGCGATCTGTTAGCGTTGATTTTTTTATGGACAGTATGAAGTGCAATCTGTTAGCGTTGATTTTTTTATGGACAGTATGAAGTGCGATCTGTTAGCGTTGATTTTTTTATGGACAGTATGAAGTGCGATCTGTTAGCGTTGATTTGAAAAAAGTTATTAGTACAATAGATTGGGACAAGTCCGATATTTGAACATAAATAAAATATTTTAGTAGATGTTAATTTGATAGATATTTAATGCATTTAAGTTTTTAAGTAAAGATTATTATAAATCAATCATGATGTGTGTTTCTTATGTAAATATAGAGAATTTAATTTAGATTTATTTCTATTCCTCGTGCAATATTAATACGTTTGCAATAATAATACGTTCTCGTTTATTTTTTATTCCTCGTGCAATAATAATACGTTATCTCTATTCTATTATTCTATCTTATTCTATTTATTTCTATTCCTCGTGCAATAATAATACGTTTGATAACTTTGAATATAAGAAAAAGAAAAAATTTGTAGATTCTCTTGGAAAAGTATTTTGGGAAAGTATAGAGGTAAGTTTTAATAATTAGCAAGTTTTTTATATCAATTCTTTTCGGTATTTTGTATTTATTGTACTTATATTGGTTTTCCAAGAAATATTTTCGTCAATAACGTTCCAAGAAATTTCATTGTTTTGGTTCTCAAGGTCATCGTTCACAGATTCACCGAGGTCTTTGATTGATAGTGATGAATAAAATAAATTTGTTTCTCAGCAAATATTATTGCATCAAAAATATTTACAGGATTGTGGAAGATCTAAAGATAAAAGACAAAAAATAAAAAGAGGACCAAGTATGGAACTTTGGGGAATTTTATTTTTATCAAATTTGAATATTTATTATCGTTTGAAATAATACATTGTTGTCTGTTGCATTGGTAAACCATTGCAAACCTTTTAAACCAACCAAGGGTTGCCTTTTTATCTTGTATTTTTCCATTTTTTTTATTAAATTGCTTTTCTCAAAAAAATCTCTTATGCTATTAATAATATCTAAAATTGCATTTTTTGGTTAAGTGTTGTGAATGAAAACCAAAATATTTTTTTTATTAAAAATTTGTTTTGAATAAGATATTTATATAATTTATTGTAGATTATTAATTAAAGTAATTTAGAAAAACTAACAAGATTGAGATTGGTCTGTAGTTGTTTAAAAATGTTTCACAGGTTTTTAAAATTGGTACAACTTTAGCTAATTTAATTTTATCTAATACGGTTACTGTACTATTTTTGATTATTACTAATTTGATTATTCGAAAATAGGTTTGCATATCTCTGAAAAGTCATTAACACAAATATTACGCAAGCGTCATCTATACCTGGATAATTATTTATTTTTAGAGAGTTCAATGCATTTCAAGTTCATCAATTTTTAATTCTTTAAGTATTTGTTCGTTGTTGACATTATTTAAATAAGTTTGATACGAGTAACTCATAGCAAAACTCATACAAACAACCAGAGGCGATTTTACGGGTATGTGTGTCGGGTGTTACCCCCTCCCCCCCCCGAAGAAGGTGATTTTCAGTTTTTTTACGAATTTAATCAGCTAGTCCGGCTATTTGACACAATTCAGTCAATTCAGTGATTTTTAAGATTCACCCCCCCCCCCTCTCATTTTTTTGTAGAAATGCCTCTGCAAACAACTCATAATAAATTATTTAGAGAATGGATTTTTGAAACAAGATTTAGGCCCATGTTAACAAAAAGCACTGTTAAATTTTGTCGTCAAAGTCTTTATTACTTATGACAATTTTAGCAGGTAAACTATTTTTGATTTGCAATATTTAATCCCAATTATTTTTTTCATAATATTACAAGTTTTTTTGATATCATTATATAAGTTTTTTATTTTATTTCAAACAATTTTTTGTATTGTTTGTAACTATTTAGGTTTGCCTCATTTCTATTTTTTAAGTATTTGGTATAAGATTGTTTTTTGTTTGACAATTTTTTGAAACGTTTGGTGATCCAAGGATTTTTGAACATTTCTCTTACATTTGTTTTACTTTAATTAGGAAGTGCATATTGTAACTGTTAAGAAAACTTTTCAAAGTTATTATAGCATATAATATAGTTATTATAGCCTATAAAAGTTATTATAGCCTGTAATATTTTTATAAAAATCTGTTGATGATAGAGAAAATTTTAATAAATTATTTCAAGTGGTCAGTAACTTTTGGAGACCAGTATGTTTTTTGATTTACTATTAACTATTTTAGTTGTAGAAATCTAACTGATCTGAGAAAAACTGAACTGATCATCTGAGAAAAATTGAGCATCTGAAAAATCATCTCTAATTTTGGTAATTTTGGTAAAGGATATTTTATATATCTCACTTATTTTGGTTCGTGACAACAGGTTATGATGCTCTATCCCAGCTTGCATACATAAGTTGGGCACGCGTTGGACCAAAGTCGGGCGAACGTTGGAAGCGTTGGACAATTTTATTAACTAAACGCTAGCGTCAAACAAGTGTCGCACAACGGCTATGAAACAATATTTTAAAAAGTTCAGACTTTAGATTGTGTTTTTCAAATGTTAAACAGTCAAGAAAAAAACGAGTGGAGAGACATTCTAAAAATTATTGTTGACACTATCTTATTCTGTGAAATAACTGTAATTAAAGTAGCAATTAAATAACTGAATGGTAACAATTAAATAACTGAGTGGTAGCAATAAAATAACTGACAGGTAGTAATAAAATAACTGAGAGATACCAATGAAATGATGGGAAAACAAAAAAGGAGCATCTGTCTAAATTTTTTTGAGTTGATAACTCATTACAAAAAAAATAAAAAAATTTAAAAGTAAATAATCATCTTTTCTTCAAATCATAACTTGAGGAGAAGTTGAAGATTTAAAAAAAAAGTTAAAAGTGTAAAGTATTATTCAATATTATTTGGCTGCACACCTGTGGTATTATTCAATGCTCTTTGACTGCACACTTTCCCACAAAGAACAATTAAGTAAAGTTACAAGATACGTTTTTATTAATGATGGTTTGTGTTTAGTCGAACAAAACTTTGTGAATTATAAATAAAATAATAAATAAAAGGCCATTAAAATTAGAAAGACATTGCTGAAGTAATCTTAGATAAACTGAAAACTGATAGAATAAAAATTGCAGAGACCAAGGCTATGGAGCAATGGATCAAACATGTAAGGAAAGGTGTTCACAATCAAATCAGTAACATCAATTAATTGGCATTATTTGTGCAACTCATGCTCAATATTAAGTTAATCTGGATGCTGCTGTATCTTTACCTATTGGTGGATGTGCATGCTGTCAAAGCTTTACCTATTGATCAATGCTCATGCTGATGAAGCCATACCTATAATGATAAAACGTTTTAGCTGTGCTTAGAGAATATTTTTTCTTCCAATTCTAAATTAAGATAAAGCAGTCAAATGATTAATTTTCAACTTCATCAAAGAGTTATTGTGAAACTAATTGATCATAAATATAAAGATACAGTTGTTTCTCTCAACAATCAAGTTGTGGAAGTTTATTATTTTTTTTTAATGACATTAGCAGTTATTATGGTTTAAAGCAAACGTAGTTTTTTTAACAATTTTAACTGTTGCTTTTGTTTTTTAACAATTTTAACTGTTGCTTTTGTTTTTTATACAATTTTAACTGTTGCTTTTTTTATTTTATTTTGCCAACATAAAAAGATGTATTGTATTGGGAGTAGAAGGTATAGTTTCTCTCTATGCACACACATGCATAGGCGCCCGCAGGATTTTTTGATGTTCCAGATAAACCACTTCCACACATTGTGCAAACTCCAAACTTAAGTATATTTATACCTATGCCATTTGAAGAGGCCTTGCAAAAAATTGTTATGGTAGTAGTCTGGAAACAAAAAAGCCCTCAAATACTTGGATCCCCTCCCCTGCCCAAACGTGAGGGCACTAATGTAGTAAAGTTTTCCGACCCCCTCCCCAAAAAAAAAATAAAATAAACGAGGGGCTATACATTTTTGCATCGACATAACTTTTGTAATTTACAATATTTTTCAACGAAATTTAAATTCTGTCGATAAGTTTGAATTTAGTTTTAAATCGTAAAGTTTAATACTTTACTACATAAGTGGCCTCACATTTGAGGAGTGGGGCAAGCGTTTCAGGGCTATTTGTTGACAGGTCTCCGCCATCCCAATTTTTTACAGGGTCTCCTCATTTGACATAGGTATAAACATACATAAGTTTGGAGTTGGCACAATGTGTGAAAGCGTCCTATCTGGAACATCAAAAACGGACTTACTAAAGAGGGGTGCCTGAAAAAAACGTCTGCCTGAAGTATAGTTTATTTTAACTTGATGCGCCTCATTAAACAAAAAAAGTAAAATAGGGCTAGTCACTGCCCATAACATTATCCACTCGGCCAAGCGAACTCTTCGATAATGTAAGATTTAATTTTATTTAAATTTATATTTGTATATATTTGATGATGTTTTTTAAATTGAGATCCTTTGCCGCTAACAAGGGCTTTGGGGTCGTATAAATACTTTATATGTTTTCCACCCCCCCCCCCGCCTATTTTTCTTTTCTTTTAATTTAAAAATTTATTAAAAAAGGTGGAGAAGGTACCCTAGATACTTTTAAAGTATTTAGGGTATCTCCTCCATTTCTTTTTTCTCAATTGGGAGGGGGGGGGGGGTTATGAAAAACGAACGCATAGCAACAGGGGGGAGCGGTGTGTGTCAAATTTCAGAATTTTTGGCGTACGTACTTTATGGACGACCCCTTATTACAAAAATTAAGGAAGAAAAAATGTTTTTTGAGAAACATTTTAACCTGTTTTTTTTTTTAAATAAATACTTTGGCAGACTAACAAAATCACAAAATGTCTGTGCCAAAGTATTTATTTAAAATTTCTTTTCCAAAGTATTTAAAAAAATAAGCACATAGAAAAACTCAGAGAAAACAAAACACTCGGTGAATTAATATACTTGCTTGCCATATAAATGGATATTCTTATTATATATTTTTTTACAATCGATTAACTGAAAATAGTATTATAAATGTAACATCCAGCAACTCAAAAGTATATCATGTAACACCCAATAAACCGAGGATCTAACATCCGACAAGCCAATGGTACATGATGTAAAATCCAATATTACAATATTTCAAAATAGATAACAAAAAAAAAAAAGTGGTTAACTCTTTTGATTGTTTCCATCTGATTGTTTATCATCAAAAGTAAAAATTACTGCCGAGAAGATTAATAAAAACTAATAACCATATACTGCAGCTACTCGTGTTCTGATTAATTCTTCAGTAGTAATTTATGCAACAAACAGTTCTTCGCAAAACAAACCATAATCAAAGTAACCTGGCAATTCTCTTCCATTCTTGTCAACGTAAGTTTTCATACGAGACATACAGAATTCAGCTTGCTCACGAGTTAAAGCCTAAAAAATTTTTTTTTAATGCATTTTGTAAAAAATGAAAAAGTAATTTTTTTAATATATGTAAATATGTATATGTATATATATATATATATATATATATATATATATATATATATATATATATATATATATAAATATATATATATTTTTATAAATATAAATATATATATAAATATATACATATAAATATAATAATAACAAATAATAATAATATGTACATTATTATTTAAAAATTGTGTTTTGTAAAACTATATATATATATATATATATATATATATATATATATATATATATATATATATATATATATATATATATATATATATATATATATATATATATATATATATAAGTTTTATAATAAAACACAATTTTTAAATATAAAAACCTTTCTTTTTCCTTCAAAAAATCTAGTTTGCATTAAAAAAAGGTATCGATAAAGAAATAAGCATTATAAAACTTAATACCTGATATAACTCTTGCTCAGTGACGTATATCTGTTTTCCACCGTCAGTTATAGCTCTAAATGCTTCATCGACTTCTTTAGCAGATTTTACATTCTCAGTCTCGCGACTTATCATAAATGCTATATATTCATTTAGTGATACAACACCATCACTAAATAAATATAAAATCACAAAAATAAAAGCATTTTGCACAATAAATGTTTTACAGAAAAAATTATGATCATTAATAAAAGAAACAAAATTGAAAAAAGATCCAAAAACACAAATAATTAAAAATAATACTTGTTTGGATCAACGGTAAATAAAATCGATTTAAACTCAGGATCATCTGCCCCTTCTTCAACAAGCGGTAGATTGTATCCTAATGATCGAAGACATGATTTAAACTCTTGATGCTCTAAGAAACCTGTTCGATCTTTATCAAAGTGTCTAAAACATTAAAATTAATGTTACTTTGATCTTAAGATGAATCATAATTTTTTAAAATTTATCAGCAATTAAACCATTTTTCATGGGAAAATATTTTTAAAATAAAATACAGGAGAAAACAAAATACCATTTTTACAAATGAAAAAACATGGACAAATTAAATACCTATTCAGAAAACAGCTGTTTTCAAGGAACAATTACGGATAAAAGAAGAACAGTTTTATCTTATATATTAGTTTTAAACATTACATATATATAACATTACACACACACACACACACACACACACACACACACACACACACACACACACACACACACACACACACACACACATATAAATATAATTTAAATACACCATTAACAATGTTTGTTATATTTAAAAATTGTTTTTACAAATGCCATTTAGCTTTAACCTACCACAGTTTTATAAAATTAAAAACAGTTATTTATAAAAATAAAAAAAAAGAATTCCGTTATTAAATGAGTATTTGAATAGGATTCACAGTAAAATAATAATAATAATAAACATTGTTGTAATAACAGAGATTTATCCAGGTCATATTTTAAAAATCTGGAAAATTTTTTCATAAAATATCCGGAAAAATAAGGAAAATTCTTTAAAAAAAAACCTAGAAATATACATTTTGTGTAACTAAGAATATATTAAAAGTGTCAAAAAAGTTTTAAAAAAAGAAATTCATTATTTGTATGCGCATACATATAATGTGCATAATATAAACAAATAATGTACATAACATAAACATAATTTGGATGCAAAAAATGTTTAGATATTTTAATTTTTTGTCAAAGTAAATCAGTGGCGTAGTACCGCATATGTTACAGTAACTAAATTAAATTTCAAAGCATTTTATGTTTTTTAACTATTATTGTTATCTATCTTTTTTTTTCTTCAAATTTTTATAGAAAAAGTGTACATAAATGTCTCAATGCATACATAAATCGACTGTTTTAGCTGTAGCCACAGTGGAGTGTACATACATCAACTGACTTAAACTTGTTTAAGTGCAGTGGAGTATACATGAGTTAATATTTTGTCAGGCATTATTTTATATTAAATATTAGGCATTATTTTATATATTATATAAATTATATTTTATATATATATATATTATATATTATATATATATATATATATATATATTATATATTATATATATATATTATATAAAAGAAAAATTTTCAATACTTATTTAATTAAGGTAATTTATATAGAAAAAATATTAAATTAAATTACCCTAGATTTTTAGGTAAAGCAGTCAAATAATTTGTAATAAATATAAGCGTATAAATAAGAAAAAATTATTTGTACATGCGTGCAAATAATGCATAACTTAACTAAATTTAGTGAAGAGTAACTGATAAACGATACATGCTTTAATTATTTGAAGACAAGTTACAAATAAATTATTTTTAACTAGTAAAGAAAATTATTAAAAAAATTAAATTTTTAAGAAATATCCAATATTCCTTATTATAACCCGATTGGTATAGCATTACCACTTAATTAATTTTAGAAACTAAAACTCTAAAAGCAGAAATGGGTTGAAAAAACCTGATAACTAAAAATGTTTAAATTTCTATTATCTAAACCAAAAAGACTTTTTTTATGCAAATAGATTTTTTTAACAAAATTTTACATTTTTAAAAATATTTTATTTTTTCCAGTTTATGATATAACATTTAGAAGTTAAAAACCTACACATCTACAATAATTATGTACAAAAAAATGTATTTTGTAGTTTTTATGAGCTGTTTAAAACAAAAAAAATTAACAACATAACAACTAACATACTGTTCATGGCAGCTACAAACAACATAACAACATAATAACTAATATACTGTTAATGACAGCTACAAACAACATAACAACATAATAACTAATATACTGTTAATGACAGCTACAAACAACATAACAACATAATTGCTACTATATTGTTAATGACAGCTACAAACAACATAACAACATAATTGCTAATATACTGTTAATGACAGCTACAAACAACATAACAACATAATTGCTAATATACTGTTAATGACAGCTACAAACAACATAACAACATAATTGCTAATATATTGTTAATGACAGCTACAAACAACATAACAACATAATTGCTAACATGACAACTAACATATTTTATATAGCACCTCAAAATAAAATAAAGGACTTACTTAAACATAGAAGTAAATTCTTTAAGCTTTTCTTCAGAAACGCCTGTTCTGTTCTTGGCTTGTATCTGATGATCAAGATTTTGCTGCATGCGCATATTAAGTTGATTCAACTGATCAAATTGCTGTGCTAAACCTACAGTACTGTGTTCGGTATATCTAACAAAGAATAGTAATATATATATATATATACATATATATATATATATATATATATATATATATATATATATATATATATATATATATGTGTGTGTGTATATATATATATATATATATATATATATATATATATATATATATATATATATATATATATATATATATATATATATATATATATATTATGTGTGTATATATATATTATGTGTGTATATATATATATATTTTTGTTGTTGCAGCTTTTTTGTGTGCAATTGGTCTATTATATCAGTAGAATGGTGAGTAAAAAAATTAGGTAACAAAACCAGATCATCAGCCTCAAACTTATGACTTTCTTTTTTTAACATTTTAAAAGTGATTTTTTTTTCAAGTTACATTTTACATAAAATTCAAATTACTGTAATTTATTTTAATGAATCAAGTAAATTACATTTTAATATTATTTATTGATGCCAGCTTTTGATTTTTTTCTTTTTATTTTTTTACGCTTACTTTTTACTCAAAATTACTTGAAAAAATTTTGTTCCATGTTCCATATTCTATTAAATTATTATTCTTAATTAGATAATGACTCATAACTTTTAAGTTACATAACTATTTTAAGTGCCCTCAAAATAATTATGTAACTTAAAAATTAAAAAAACTTGCCTAAACAATGGCAAATGTATGTAATCAGCATGATATCAGCAATAATGTTTTATCAAAAACAATCACCCAAAAATATATTTGTATATATCTTTAGGGGTATGTATTTACATATATATATATATATATATATATATATATATATATATATATATATATATATATATATATATATATATATATATATATATATATATATATATATATATATATATATATATATATATACATACACATATATTGGCCTATGCCAAAGCCTCAGTCAATGTAGCAGAACTCCTTTGTTGCAGTAGCAGGCTATAAGATAGGGTGTATGTTAAGAAGGTCTTGTATATAGGTCTTGTTAAGAAGCATTATGCTATTCGAATTTTACGTACAAAATAACAACTTCACTTTTGTGTTAAGCCATTAACATTATGCCAAAACATTTTTAGAACAATTTTAGAACAATTTATATAAAATAGTTTATGCAGAAAACATTAAGTAGTAACTAATTGTTGTCAAAAACATTTTCTCACTGCAATTGTTGTCAAAAACATTTTCTCCGCAATTGTTGTCAAAAAACATTTTCTCCGCAATTGTTGTCAAAAACATTTTCTCCGCAATTGTGAAATTGATAAAAATTTAGATTAAAAAAAAAAAAAAAAAAATTTTTAATTTAAATTTAAATTATTAAATTTATATTAAATTCATCAAAAAATTTTAATAAATTTATTTTATTAAATTTATTTCAAACTTAAAAAAAAAAAATTTAAAACATTCTACAATTTTCTTTTTACTGCTAAAATTTCTAAACTATGTTCAAGAAAAGAAAATTCTTTTTAACAAATTTAATTTAAATTACTTTAAAATGTTCATTTTATATACAACTATTTTATTTATAGTTTCAAATCAATAATTTTTTAATCTCGTTACAAAAGTGCTAATATACAAAATATATGTAAATGCATTGGGGGATAAACCATAATCATGTCAAAAGGCAAAATTATTAGATTTATTAAAAATAATTATAGAATTTCATTTAATAAACTTAATATAACAAATTTATGAAGAAACTATTTTTTTAGTTTTAAAATTACTTTTTAACAAAAGTTTTTTGATTATCATTATTTTCTAGATTGATCATAGAATGAATGTCGATTAGAAATAATTAACTAGTTTAGTGTGAAGATTTTTTTAAAGCTAAAATGTTAAAAAATTAAAAAAACATTGATAGTTTTTTTTTTTTGACCATTAAGAAATTCACCTATAAATAATTGCCCTTTATCTAAAAAAAAACAAACAAACTAAATTATGAGAAAGCAAACATAAGAGGATGTTTAAAAAAAAAATTGTGAGAAAGCAAACATAAGAGGAAAAGAGTTTAAAAAAATAAATTGTATAAATTTAAATAAAAATAAGTTTTTTTAAAAGAAATTTTTTTTTATCAAACAACATTCAAATTTTATTGATAATTTTTTATAACAAGATTGTTTAACTTAAAGATATTTTTATAATTATTTTATAAAGATTAAGACTTAAAATGATTTTTAACGTGGTTTCAAACTAAATTTAATTACGATGCAGTACTTTAAAATATGTAACTGACGTAATTTAACTTTTAACAATGTAAATATGTTTACTGAGTAAAATACATTTACTCGTGTTATGCTTTAAATTAGCGGTAAATCACTTATTAAATTTTTATATACACAACATATTTTATCAAGACTAATCACTTAAAAAATTTGTCATAGCTTAATTTTTGTGTGTATATATATACAGTCCTGAAGCTGATAGAGGTCGGCATCAGGTCGGCAAAAAAAAATTGAAACAAAAAGGGTTACCATAAAACATTGAATAAAGGTTGGCGATTTTTTTCCAACCTCAAACACTTTAAGGTTGGCAGTTCAGTCAGCATTGCCGAATGGCAATGCTGACTTAAATGACCCTAATTCCAATGGCTGTATATATATATATATATATAAAATATAAAATTATTTTTAAAAATAATACAATGTTTTTTATTCTTGAAATACTTTGTAAAATTTATTTACATTTTCAAAAGATTATTTTACAATAAAAAAATATTCTGAAGTAAATATTAAAAAATAAAAGTCTTAACAGATAAATATTAGCGGACAAATATTATACATAATAAACCAATATATATATTACAAAATAACTCTGTAAATAACCAATTAAAATAACCAAATATCAAAACAAAAAAAATAAACTGACAGTAAAATTAAATAGATAAGTTTATAGCATAATGTAAAGTTTGTTTATCAAGTGAAGGACTTTTCCATTTAATGCGGAGGACTTTTTTTTATCTTTAATTTGTGTTTGGTTAGAGCATTATCCAAAATCTCAAAAGAATCACAGTAAGCCAGATTTTTGCAATTAATAGATAAATTTAAGTGTTTAAATATATGAGATTGTTTATCAATTTTAAGGTGCTCATTTATTCTAGTTGCCAAATGTCTGGAGGTTTCTCCAATATAACTGGCATTACAGCCATCTCAAGAAAATCTATAGACAACATGAGATTTAAGCAGTTTCGGAATTGACTCTTTTAAGCAAAAACAATCTAGTATTTTATTAGTAGTGAAAAATAATTTTATTAGAACATCATTGTAATATTTATGAACGATTTTTGAAATTTTCAATTTAATATAATTAGAGTACATTCCAATGTATGAAAGCTTAAAGCTTAATTGGTTATTTTCCAAGTTATTTTGTAATAAATATATTGGTTTACTATGTATAGTTTTTGTCCATTAATATTTCTCTCTAAAGAGTTCTTAAAATTTTTTTCAGAGTTTTTTTTGATTGCAAAATAATCATTTGAAAATGTAAATAAATTTTACGAAACATGTCAAGAATAAAAAACATCGTATTAGTTAAAAAAATAATTACTTATTTTATGCTATTACAACGTTCAAGAAATATATATATATATATATATATATATATATATATATATATATATATATATATATAAATATAAACACATATACACATACATATATAATGACTATTATTATAGTTATTAGGTATTGAATTATGCTGCAGTGGTAGAATTATGCTGCAGTGGTAGGATTTGTTTACTGAATGAAGAAAAAAAAGAAAAAAAAAGAAAAAAGAGTTTGATCCCTACCACAGTATTCAACTTTCTCTGCACCAAAACAAACAAAAGCGTTGATGAACAAAAGCCCTTCATCAACGCTTCTGTTCATCAACGGTTTTGTTCATCAATCCTTTCTTAATCCTTTTCGGATTTAAAGGATTGAGAAAGGATTGTAACAACAGTTAAAAATAATAATAAAAAAAAAATACTTAAAAACTTACTTATTATCTAAAATCATTGCTTCTTCCAACTGTGCTCCTAAGATCTCAATATTATCTAAATCATCACGCTTTGCCTGAATAATATTTGAGGTGTTCTAAAAAATAAAAAAAGATTATTTTTTATTTAACAAAAAAAAAAAAAAAAAAGCAAAAAAAAAGTAAAATTTACAAGTTTATTTACTTTTAAAGTTTTAAGTTGATCTTCTAAACTGCCAGATAAGTCAACCATTAATTCTCTATAAAAATAAAATATTTTTAATCATGCGACATGTGTAATCAAACATTTATAAATCTTTGATAAAAATTTACTTGGTTTCTTCTAAAAATTTATGAAAGAGATTTGCTTTTGAAGCATATGATTGCCGAAGTTCATCGTTAAAATCCTGACGCCGTGCTTCTTTTTCCAGCTCAACTTCTCGGTCCTAAAGAAATATTATTTGTTTTTGAAAAAATAAAAAAGCCATAGAACAACAAAAAAAAAGTATATGTATAAACATACTTTCACTGTCTCCTGTAGTTTCTTCCAAGTTTCTTCTAAAGCCTCCATATCAAACCATGTGTATCTGAGTGAGGTCATCATTAAAATTATCACACATTAGTCAAAAAACAGATAAATATTTAAAAAAAAAAAAAGAAACTGGTTTTTGGGGGCTTCAGTACATGCATTGACTGAGGGTTTGATTTGAACAAGAAATATCTATATATAAAGGAACCTATTACAACAACAACAACAAAAAATCATTTTTTAAATATTATTCTGAAAATTTTAGACTTTATTACACAGTAGTAGAAACTTTGTAAAGTACTAGTTGCAGTAGCAGAAACTTATATAAACAATAGTAGATACATATATCTGTACCTCAGAAGTCAAAGGTCGGTTGTCACATTTTAGAAATAAGTAGTTTATATATCAAATAAATGAAATCGTTAAAAAAAAAGTAATTAAAACCAAGGACACGAAACAAACTTTAGTTTAGCATACATAAAAGAAACCATTAAAATATATATTTGAAAAAGTATTTTATTAGGCAACATTTTTGAAATGGACTAAAAAGTTAAAAATAAATATATAAAATTTGTTTCACATTGTCATAGGACAACAGTCTTTATACTTCTGTGAAAAAACTAAAAAAGTCTCATACATTACTCATTTTCACAAAAAACTAAGCAACCGAACTTTGTCATTTGAGGTATATGTAATATATATACGCTATAGTATATATATATATATATATATATATATATATATATATATATATATATATATATATATATATATATATATATATATATATATATATATATATATATATATATATATACACTACAATGTATGTAGATAAGAAATTGTTACAGTTTTTCTCGTCTTTAAAGGATATGGCATTTTCAGAAAAAGAGGAAAAAACAAAGAATAATGAAAGAAAAAATTGCTGCCCCATGTCAAACCTTCAGTTGATGTAATGGCATTCCTTTGTGACAGTAGGCTATAATACAGTCGATGTTATAAAATAGATGATATAAGTCACAATAATTTTTGATAGAATTTGAAAGATAGATGTTATAAGATAGATGATATATGTCACTTCAATGACTAGTTTGTAACTATATGAGTGACAGATAATATTTTCTGTAAAATTATAATGAGCTTTGTAAATTTTATTATCATTGTTGAATATAAAAAAGATATATATATATATATATATATATATATATATATATATATATATATATATATATATATATATATATATATATATATATATATATATATATATAAAATAAACACACACACATATACTAGCACCAGTTTCCTCTAATTTAATTTTTAAAAAATAAAATTTACGTACGGATTGTAGTTAATGTTATAGGCTTTTATCTGAGAATCCAAATCAATTAATTGTGCAAAATCAGCTTTTGGTTGACTGAGGCAGTTTCGAAAAGTAGAATGTGAATCTAATAATTCCTTTAAAAGAATTAAGATTTTCTTGAAAATCTATAACTTTAAAACAAAAACTTAACCTTTTTTTATAATTACTTAAAAAAAAAAAAATTAAAACCTTAATTTGTTCAACAGAATTACAGCGAACAGGATCAGTTAAATCTTCTTCAGCATTTTCAAACCAACTGTTAAATGCAGATGCTTTTTTTGCAAAGATCAAAAACAAATCTTCAATCTATAAAAAAAAAAAATTATGAGTATAAAAAAATATCTATAAATCTATAAACAAAATGTATGTAATGTAAAAAATAATGCAAAAAAAAAAATAAATCAAAAAAAAAAAAAAAATTCTTTGAATAAAAAGTAAATTTACATCTAAAGATATTAAAAAAAAAAAGTTTCTATTGTAATATTTTCTTATATGCAATCACATAAACTCATTTGTATTTCTGTCGAACTCATAAATTAACATATAAGAAAAAAAATAAAAAAATGTTAATACAATGAAGTGGTTACTCATTTTAAAAAAAGGCTTCAGCATAAAAAGTCCCCACAATAGAACCACTATAACTCTCACATGCAAATATTTGTAATCTGGTTTCCATAGTAGTACCATTATAATTCTCACATACAAGTATTTGTGTTCAGGTTTCTGCACCATTATAACTCTCAAGAGTGTTTGTAATCTGGTTTCCATAGTAGCACTACTATAATTTTCACAAGTATTTGTAACCTGGTTTCTATAGTAGCAACAGTCTAATTCTCACAAGTATTTGTAATCTGATTTTATTTATTAACAACTTTATTAACAACTAAACTACAAAAAAGAAAAAAGAAAATAACTTAAAATAAAAAATTATAACTTATTTAATACCATTTGATGGTACTTTTGTTGTTCAATCAATGATTGTCGCAGTTTAGCAGTATAATTCAATAGATCGTGCCATCTAAAAAATAATTAAAGAAAATCAAATTAAAAAAATTTCTTATAAATATTGCAACTACAGTTTACAAAAAAAAACACCATAATCTTTTAAAAACCTTGCAAGTAAATTCTTATATGCTTCAACAATTGCAGCTGATTGTTCATGCTGCGAACTAACAAGCTCTTCTTTTAATACTGTTATACGTGCAATTCCATCCAATTCAAATGCTGATAAACCAGCTTCAAAAGCATCCTGAATCAATCAATAATAATAACTTATTTTATATGTATGCATGTATATATATATATATATATATATATATATATATATATATATATATATATATATATATATATATATATATATATATATATATATATATATATATATAATATAAATATATATATATATATATATATATTTATATATATATATATATATATATATATATATATATACATGCATACATATAAAATAAGTTATTATTATAAAAAATCTATATTACTTATATATACTTGATAATTAATCATTGTCCAAATAGCTGCAAGCAACCACTAAGTAGGGAGTTATTAGAAAGCAAAAATAGAACACATCATAGTGGAAGTTCATTTAAAAAAATGTCTACCAGAAATGGTTTGCATTATTAAAACCACTACATTTTGTGCAGTTATAGTCTAAATATGTCTTACAAAAAAGAAGTTCAATGAGCAAGTTATGGATTTTTGGTGTTTATGATAAGTAGCTTTCAGAGATGGTGTAAACTTTAAACATTGTAATATTGATACTGGTGTCAAATATTGATACTGGTACCAAATAAGGTTTTACAAAAAATTATGATGATTAAAGCTTAGGAACAATATTACCCAGAAAATTTGGTCTCACTGCCCCAAATGTTAAAGAAAAGAAAAAAAATTCTTATTTGAAACTAGATTCATCAAAAATATTCTAATTAATTTCTAATGGATTGCAAATACTTTTCAAGATTATTCTAAATTCTATTTATAGTTCTACAAAGTAGATGAATACTTTTTAGTAAATGGTAGAAAAACAATCAATTTAAAAATGGTAGAAAAACAATCAATTTAAAAATTATTCTTGCAAAAATTAATATGCACAATTTTTCTTCATATTTAGGTATATTCAGCCCTCGTAATTAGGGTCAGTATTTTGAAAGTGTTTAAGGTCAGCAAATAATTCCCAACCTCATTTCTATGTTTTATGCTAAGACCTTTGTGTCAAATTTTTTTTGCCAACCTCTAACAGTTTAAGGTCTGCAATTTATTGCTGACCTCATTGTTCCTAATTCAGAGGGCTGTATACTAGAACCCTCCATTGTCTGAACTTAAGATCTTCCTACTTTAAGAAAAAAATTACCTCTTTACTGCATTAGATGTGCAGATTTACCTAATTAATTTTGTAAGCACATAACAAAAGTATACCTAATATAGGCGACAATCGCATGACACTTCTAGTGTTTTTTGAAATTAAAGGCTATAATATAATTTCAAAATTCAAAATTTCAAGTACAAACTAATATTTAAAAACTATTTGTAAAATGTTTTTTTGACTCATACAAAAGATAAAAAAAATTTCAAAATATGTGTTTAAAAATTTTATTGCGGTATACCACAAGAAAATATACTAGGCAAAGGAACAGTTGTTTTGTAACCTTTTGTAACAGTTATTTTGTAACAAAAGATATTTTGTAAACCTGCAATGTAAACATTATTTTATGTTAATGAACAATTTAACATTTGATGATTGATATAATGAATAATTTAACATTTCTATTATTTCGATCTAGTTTAAGATGCTATTTTTATAAAACTTTTATATTCATATTTTGGACAGTGAGACCATAATTTATTGGTTAATATTGTAATTAGGCTGTGTTTACCATAATATTTTGTAAAACATTTGATACCAATATCAAACCTATTAAGTACACCAAAAATATTGTTCAACATTTTTTTTAAGACAATATATATTTAAAATTTAGATTATTACTTTACGAGGCTTCAAAAATACAAACTGTTTTTGGTGGACATTTTTTTTCAAATACATTATTTCTGCAATGATGTGAGAGCAAGAAAGCAGGTGACAGAAAAAAAAGGTGATTTCAAAAACTTTATTAATCAGTCTTTAAAAAAAAAAAACTTTTATAAAATTATTTCAAAACTTTCAAACAGTCAGTAGCAATTTGTTAGTACACTAAAAAACCTGCATCTAACTTAAACCCTACATAAAGCAACTGCAGAGAAATTAAAATGTTAGCATACTAGCATTTTTCTGTAATAAAAGAAACATAAAAGTATAGTAAAAATTATTAATTTGAAAAACCAAATAACCTGTCGTGTTATTAAATTTTGTGCACTAAATAGATCTTTTGCAAAGTGATCAACTTTAAGATATTTTTCTTTTTCTTCTAAATTAAAAAAAAAATTCTATTATATTATAGTTTAATGTGCCAACAGTTAAAAATATATTAATTTCAATCAAAATACCAATCCATGATTCAGCGACATCAGCTTTCCATTTAAACTGTAAGAATGAATTGTTATCATTAAGTTTATGTTGACGCAATCCAGCATCTTTGTCTAAAGCTGCAAATTTAACAGAGAGCTCATCTATCTTCTCTTTAATAGTGACTTTTTTGAAATTGTTCTAAATATAAAAACCTTACATATACCACAGGAACCATAAATATAAAAACTTTTCATACACCATTGGAATCATAAATATAAAAATCTTAATTATACCATAGGACACATAAATACTTATATTAATTATAAATAATATGGTATAATTATAAATACCATAGGAAACATAAATACAAAAATTTTACATACACCACAAGAATAAAACTTATAAAAATTTTACATACACCACAAGAATAAAACTTATAAAAACTTTACATACACCACAAGAATAAAACTTATAAAAACTTTACATACACCACAAGAATAAAACTTATAAAAACTTTACATACACCACAAGAATAAAACTTATAAAAACTTTACATACACCACTGGAATCATAAACATACAAATTTTTAGTATAAAACAGGAAACATAAATATAAAAACATAAATTATAGGAATTATAAATATAAAAACAAGACGTAAACCCACTCAAAACAAGATAAGAAGGGTCTGGTTCTGCACCTAACCCATTATAGCCCTAGCATAAACAAACCTAGTATCACCAAGGATTAGTCAATAAATCAACAATAAACTATTGATAGCTTAAAAAACTCCATTGTAGTATTTTGGCTAGCTTGCTAGGTCAACTGCTAATCATATATTTGCTAGAGGTTTTGGAAACATCAATTTTATTTTTTTTAAAAAGTTTTTCAGCATGAACTATTTCATTATTTCATCAACTAATTGACTTTTTAAAATTAACTTAAAACCTACAAAAATTTCTAAAATTTTTATTTTATTATATTTAATGAGAGAACAAAACAATTCTTTCAAAATAATTTAACTTTATTTTTATTTAATGAGAAAAAAAATTAAAAAATTCTTTTAAAACACATTAAGTTTAACTTTTTGATAAAAACAAAACAAAAAACAAACAAAAGAAAATTTAAAGATTAGAAAAATAGTCTTTATGTACAGAGAAGTGTATCAACTGCATTACTTAGGAATAGATGCAGTAAGTGCACTACTGTGGAGAGCCTATTAGGCTTAATGATGTAACACAGATTTTTGTTTACTGACAGTCTATTGTTTTTATTATAGTAACAGTTTAAACAAAGTTAAAAATAATTAAACTAAAAAAATTAATGTAGCAAAACTCTTTAAATTACCAAACCTTGATGAAAATAGTTACTTTCATAAATTTTATGTGTTTTTCTCAGCTTAATATAGCAAATAATACTGTTGAAAATTAAGAAATGCTTGCCCGGGAAACCTTGAACAAAAAGCTGGGTACACAGATACCTGTTAAAAAAACAAATTATTTTTTATAAAACTTGAACTTTTAAACGGTCAAAAAAAACTTTTCATTTAAGGATGTCATTTAGAGTTGTTTTTTTGTTCACTTATTTTTAAACTTTAAATGTTTTTATTGCTCATTTATTTTAAAAGTAAAAAAAAAAAAACAAAAAAAAATTAAAAAGTCAACTATAGAGAAGAAATTGCAATAACTAGCTTTTACAAAACATGTTACAAGTGTTTTTTTTTTTTTTTTTTTTTTTTTTTTTTTTTTTTAACATCTTCACTTCCAACAAGGCTGCAAGCAACCACTATAAGAGTTGGAAGTTACTGGAAGAGAAAAGACTAAATCTGTAGAGCAAGATAACGATTGACTGATGACTTAAAAGATTGCAAATTATATGAATCAGGAAAGCAAGATGAAGGAAGCGAATTCCAAAGAACTGATGTTTGAGGAAAAAAACTAGAAGAATAAGAGTTTTTGAAGCACTTAGGAACAGTCACAGAAAAAGGATGAGACTTAATTGAATGGCGAGTAACACGAGAATGAATTTTAGTAGATGGCACAAGGGACGCTAGCTCTTTAGAGCAGTGCCCATTATAGTATTTGTAGAAAAGAGAAAGAGAAGCAACATTATGGTGATGTGACAAAGGTTGAAGGTTGGCTGCAAGAGCAGGTCCAACTATGTTTGCAATTCATTTTTGCACCTTGTCTAAAAGAGAAAGAGCATCATTAGAAGATCCGCCCCAGATGTGGCAACAGTATTCCATACAGAGACGGATTTGAGATTTATAGAGATAGAGAATAGAATCTGAAGTAAGAAAGTGTCGAGCTCGATAAAGAGATGCAACCTTAGCAGATGCTAATTTTGCAATGGATTTGATATACGGTTTAAAAGAAAGATCAGAAGTAAGAGTTAATCCTAGAAGATGAATGGTAGATGACTCATCTAGTACATTACCATTCATAAATATAGGAAGATCTAAATTATTACGATAACGATTGGCCGAATAAAATTGAGTTTTATCTGAATTAAAGTTCACCAGCCACTGTGAGCCCCAAGCTGTAGCAGAAGTGAGATCCTTTTCAAGCTCAGATACCCCCTCCAAGCAATCAGAGAGTGTAGGCTTCTTATCATGACAAGAGTAAATGGTAGTGTCGTCAGCGAATAATGCCACCTTAGATGTGAGAATATCTGGAAGATCGTTAATGTAAATTAAAAAGAGTATAGGGCCAAGGATTGAACCTTGAGGAACCCCTGAAGTTACAGGATGTGAAGAAGAGTGTTGTCCATCGAGGACAACTTTTATACTACGATTGGAAAGAAAGGACTCAATAATCTTAAAGACGTTACCAGCTACACCATAAGAAGAAAGCTTATGGAGAAGACCAGCATGCCAAACTTTATCAAAAGCTTTAGAAATGTCAAGTGCGATAGCCTTAACCTCTCCACCTCTATCTAATGCACGGTAAAACCTATCGGTTATTACTATTAGCACATCATGTAGAACGAGAAGACCGAAATCCATATTGATGATCAGAAAGTAAGTTATTTGATTCAAGATGAGAGATTAAGTGTTTGTTGATTTAAGATTCAAAAACCTTGCTTATGACAGGAAGAAGACTAATGAGACGGTAGTTAGATGAATCAGATCGCTCTCCGGAATTTTTGAAAATTGAAAAGGGATAACAGATGCTGCTTTCCAGCATGATGGAAAACAAGACTCTGATAAGCACTTGTTAAATAGTTTAGAAAGTATGGATGAAAGCTCCGGAGAACACCTCTGCAGGACTACAACAGGAATGTTGTCAGGACCACAAGCTGTTGAAGAGTCTAAGCAGGAAATTACTTTAGATACAGAAGCTGAAGTGATGCGAATGTCGAGCAAGGGATCAACCTGTTTGACGGCTATGTCAGGTAAAACACAACTAGTGGAATCAAGAGATGATGTTGATGAAAAGTTCTTAGCAAACAATTCAGCTTTGTCTTTAGGTGAGGTGACAAAGTCTGAACCATACAACAGAGAAGGAATAACAGATTTGCCCTTATTATTGATACTGTTAAAGATTCTCCAGAAGTCTCGAGAGCCTAATTTTTGTGATGAGATACGAGATTTAATGACCTGGGAATAGCGAGCTTTGGCGTCAGACAAAACCTTTTTACAATGGTTTCTGGCGATAGTGAACAGATGTCTGTTTTCTGGAGAATTGTTTTGCTGATAGATATGGAAGTAACGGTTTCGATTAGAAATTGCTGCAGCGCAATGTGAGGAAAACCAAGGAGAAGAGTGAGGCTTGACCTGGAATCGTCGAGAGGGAATAAAAGATTCCATGCCAGCCTGAATCCACGAAGTTATGTAAGAAGCACATTTGTCAGCAGGAAGACGAAAGATTTCTACCCAAGGGCCATCACGAAGAAAATCACGGAAAGAGTCCCAGTCAGCTTTAAGGTAGTTGTATGTGGTACGATGATAGGGGGATTATGATGAAGTAGAAGAATTTGATAATAGTTTTAGAGAGATCAAACCGTGATCAGAAGTACCTAAGGGTGAATGTGGAGAAATTGAGCACTGACTAGGATCCAAAACAAGACATAAGTCAAGTAGAGAAGGTAAATGATTAGGGTTGTCTGGAAAACGAGTTGGAAAGTTGACTATTTGAGTTAGAGATTGAGAAAGGCAAAAGTTGAGGGCCTTAACGCCAGCAGAGTCACTGACACTAGAGCCAAGCCAATCGGTGTGATGGGCATTAAAGTCACCAACAACGACGATATTGGCCGATGGATAAAGGGAGAGGGCTTGGTCAATTTGATCAGAAATAACATCAAGAATAGTGCAATCTTGGGATGAAGGAGAGCGATATAGAACAAAGAGAAAGGCGATAGAGTGAAGTTGTGCTAAACGAAAGCACATAAATGAATAGTCTGTAGATTCAAACCTAGTTTCACGACAAATGGGTGAGTTCTTACGAATGTAGATGCCCAGGCCAAGCATGTGATTATTGGAGTCTTTACGAATTAAAGGAAGATAACCATCAACACTAAGATCACAAGATGGGACAGCCGAACTCAAATTAGTCTCACAAAGAGCAAGTAGGTCTGGTGAACTTTGCAAGAGATAAGACTCAACAGAAGAAAAGTTACTTCGAAGACCACGAATATTAGTAAATGATAGGTTTAGAGAACTTGGTGATGACGATGGTTTTTTGTGTTTTTTAGTTTTAGGTACTTTAGTCATTTTAAATTTATAAAGAACTTGACTCGAAACATAGATAGTACTCAGTACACTATTTAACAACTAAGCAATAGCCTCATTACTATTAATAAACCCTAAGCCGTAACAAAGGGCTCCAAATGTGGCCTCTGCAATGCACACCAAAAGTACAAACAGGGACACCATCCATGCGCAACATGGCACTGTTAGTACTCTGATATTTTTCGGCTGTTGATGGAATCAGCCTCTCTGAGAGCTACCACAGAGTTCGGGAAACCTGACTACCAGCCGGCCTCAGAACCATAAAACTGAGTTTTAGAGCTGTACCCTCATTAGGAGATAATAGAATGAGTTGCCCAGTCATAAAAATAGAGACACAAGCAATACCCACGCATTGGGTCAAGAAGGTCCAGCGTTCAACATCCTAAACTGGAAACAATGTATTAAAAATACATCTGCGCCAGCCTAATAGATGAGGAAGGGGTGCGAGGCTGGTCAACAGATAGAATCTGTTTACCCATTAAGTCTTTGCCTAGGAGGCCTTCTACAAGACAGCAGCTGGATGCATGTAACATCTGCCCAAGATGAGTATTTTTATCGAGACACCATCTCTAGCCTTTACTCAACCAAGAGCCCCAAGGCAGGGGGTGTTTTAATTCGGAGTTAACTTCTCCTAGCCTTTGCCTAAAAAAGCGTAGATTTTATAAAGCGTATGTAAATAGTATTACATAACACTTAATATTGTTTGTTGATTACAAAATTTGTGAAAAAATAAAAATATTGTTATTATGAAATAGAACTCAAAGACTTCCAACACAAAATAATAAGTTTTTTTTAGCAGTTCATTGTCTTCATTATTATCTTTTTAATATCTTGATATTTTTAATTATTTATTATAAGATAAGTTTTAGCATTCTTAGGCTGAGAAGCATTACCTGGTGAAAATTCATTGGAATAACTCCATTTGGCTTCTCATCAAGATTTGTTTTTTGATGTAAATGTTATTAAAGAGTAGATCTAATGTCAAACTCTTATTTGGTAGCTTGTAATCAGTAGAGGCTAAAATGGAGGCATTTATCATTTCAAACTGCGAAAACAAGGAGAGTTTTGAAAATTTTAAAAAAAGAACTGTGGTGGTAATATTGTTGTATTAACTATTAATACAACATAAATATTACTGCTGATATATGATATATGGTAATATTGTTGTATTAATTATTAATACAACATAAATATTATTGCTGATATTGTGGACATTACTCTAACATGACTTTTAACTTTGTTTGAAAAAAAAGTTTTTATTGTTAAGCTTTTTTTAAAATAAAGTATCAAATGTAAAAAAAAAAAAAAAAAATTATTTATTTTATAAATTTATAAACATTATACAATGTTTTTATAAAAACATTGTATAAGTTTCATAAATAAAATAAAAGAATGACAGCAGCAAAATCAAAGTCAGAAGTTTTATTGTAAACGTATAGCATTTAAAAAAAATCAAAAAAAAGTTGTTAACTTAAAATAAACAGTACCATAATTAAAAATAGATACACATCAAAATCTAATGATTAAATTGATTTCTTATTTTACTGAAAATTTTTTTTGTACAATTTCAAATTTTTTAGTTTGGGTAGTCAGGTGAGAAAACTTTGTACTTCTTGCTCATATGTTTTTTATCTACCAAAACAAATATGCTTCTGTGGCTTCATGCGAAAACTTTCTCTAATCACCTTACTGTACCTATTCAACCCTATTTACAGTTTATAAAATACCATTATGAAGTCATTATGGTTTTATGGCTACTTTTGACAAGGTACAATTTTTGTTCACATAATACATTAGAAAAATATTTTTCTCATAACCACTGTACGTGTGCAATTTTGTTGGGAAAATTTTTTTTCTTCTTAAATGCTCGTAAAAAGTTTAGTCTAAAAAATTATTCTAAATTTAGTCTAAAAAAACTATTCTAAACTATTAAAAAATCTTTTAAAAAAATATTATTTTTTATTTTTTCACAAATTTTGTAATTAATAAACAATATTAAGTGTTATGTAATACTATTACATAAAACTTAATATTGTAAATTACTGTGGTGGTTTAACAATAAAACCATTATTCACTTATCAGAACAATCAAATACACTACTCAAAATACACTACTCAAAAACACCAATTAAAAAGTAACTAACCAAAATACACCAATCAGAATACACTAATAAAAATACACTAATCAAAATACATCAATAAAAATACACTAATAAAAATACACTAATAAAAATACACTAATAAAAATACATCAATCAAAATACACTAATAAAAATAAAGTAAAAGCTTTTATTTATAAAATGGATTTTAATAGCAAGATTTATAAGGTAAAACAGAAAGTAGAAAGTAAAGTACCTCTTCAATCAGCTTCTTTCCTTGCTTTTGAATGTTTTCAAATCGCACTTTATGAACACATAAATCATTACAAAAAGCTTCTTGTTTCTTTAAAAGACCTTGAATGGCAGCTAAAGTGTCTCCATAATCCTCACTCAATACTAATTTTTGTTTTTCTGCAATCCAAGAAAATTCAACATGGATGTCAGATACAATTTGCTGGTATTCTTGTGCTTCAACTAACAATTTATTCCTGTTAACATTTTATACAGCATTTTAATATCTTTTATTTACTTTGAATAAATTTAAAAAGATATATTACATTTGCTATGATAGAGATATTTGAATTAACAAGAGGTTTAAAAGAATACAAAGCATTAGCCAATGCTTCTTAAAACTAAACTTAGATATACAAACAACATTTAAAGAAAAAAAATTTAAAACTACACGATGTAATGAACTGAATTTCATAATAAATAATAATTGAAAAGAAATTGAAATGACTAAATAAATATAGTAAACTAACTAAACATAAAATAATTTAAAAAATATAAAGTAAGCAGCTCAAAAGGTGTTAAACCAGAATTTTTAAAATGGATTTTGACCCACCTGGTACAGCCCATTAGGTATCACACAAACACCTGTGAGGTTAATAATTGGAAAGAAAACACACTTCTAATATTATTATCTGGCAAAGTCATAGATACATATTCATAAAAATGACAAGTTTGATTATTCATCAAAAAGTTCACATGACTGGTATGAAGACTAAAAATTTTAATATCAAGATAAAATGTAGTGTCTGGTTATTTCAATGACAAATCATGGCAAAAAACCAGACACTACATTGCTGTAACAATAGAAAATTTCAAAAGAAGGAGTGTTTCACTGTCACCAGAAGGAAGTGTGTCACAAGAATTAATTTTTATAATAAATATAATAAATTATCAAAAAAATGTAGTTTTATATATAACAAAAATTTTTACTTTTTTTAATTAGAAAATGTTAAGCAAAAGCAATTTTGTTAACAAAACAGATTTAAAAAACTTTATATTTTAAAAAGAGTTTTCTTTCTTTAGTTAGAGTTTCTTTAGACATTGTTGAAGACTAACCAAAAGTCTCTAGAACCTAACATCTGAAATAAGATACAAAATTGAGTTAACTGAACTTCTGTCTGCTTAACATCAGACAGAACTTTTTAAATTGGCTTCTTGCAGTAATAAAAAGAGATTTGTTCTTAAGAGAGATGTTCTTGTAAAAAAGATGAAAAAAATGATAAATGTTTAATAAAGAAACTGCAAGGTAGTGAAAAATGTGGAGTTGAATTTAAAATTCAGCTTGTTTAAAATTGAAAAGAAGTAATAAAAGCTTTCAAAACTTTTATTCCAGAAGAAATAAAAGCTTCCAAGATCCGCTTTATGCATACATATTATGGATATTAACATATATGTTGGCTATTTTAATTTAGATGCTAACACACAATATGCTTTCATATTTATATAAACTTTAGCATTTCTATGGTGTAGTATTTGCTAAAAGAGAAGATGATCAGATTATGATGGTGGTAATGATGATTATGATGATCATGTTGATCATAATGATGTTTACATATGCATATATATACAAAAAATAACATGAATTTTGAATAAGAAAAATATACTTTAGGATGTATAAATGTTTATGCAGCCCTGGTCACAAACCCGGCCCAGGCTATATTTTACCAAACCCGACCCCAGTAAAATACCAACCTGGTTGCTTACTACATAAGTTAAACTTTTTTTTATAAATCAAGTGCAAGCGCAACAATATATATTTTTTAACAAATCGTACTTGGGAGCTTAAAATAATATTTGCTTTCACAACAAAATTGCTGGTAAAGTAATTAAACAGTTTTTAATTTTACAATTAGCAATAATTTTTATTCATAACTTTTTAAAAATAAAAACCATTATTATTTGCAAAACCGCAATTATAAATTTAAGCAACAATAATTAAAAAAAAGTTTAACATATTTTAATTCTTTTATAAAAATGTCAAGAAAAGAAAGAAATTAGTTCATATTAAATACTTTTAAAAAGGTAAAATATTAAAATATTCGATTGAACTAATTTTGTGGTAATTTATTATATTGAGCTAGTTAAAAATAGTTAATGTCCTTTTATTAAAAAAAATATATATAATGACGTCCAATTCACATTTAGCTAATGCGTTAAGAATTTTTAATTTAAAATAAGGCCTATGATAGTACAATATAATGTCACATGACTTATTGCTAGCTACTCTTATATGTTAACCATGAACAAAAAATAAAAAAATAAGAATACTTTCAAGTTGTTGAAAATTTTATTTTGGCATAGCAATCCAAATATAGCATTAAAGTTAGCATAATTTTTTTTTGATAATAGTACATGACCAAAGGTTTACAAAATTAAAAAAAAAAAAATGTGTTTATTCAGTATACCTTTTTTTTTTTAATAGTGGAAAAGTCATGATAGCATTTATATGGAATGACTTAACTATGGTACATACAATATTTTAATTTATTTATTATGATTGGGGAGGGAGTTGAGCTTAGTTAATAATTGTTACTGCATTTTATGATCACAAAAATAATCACATTTCAATTAATACAAATAAAATAAAACCTGTTATTAGCAAGTTGAGTCAATTCATTCCAATTGTTTTTAAGCTGTTCACATCGAGCATTAATTTTTTCAGTACAGGTAGGTTCTTTCTCTTTAAAATAATCAATTTTTGATAGAATTTGTTCAAATTGCGGTTCAAAAGTTTTTATTTCTGCAATTAAACGCTGGGCCTTCTTTTGTAAATTTTGACAACTTGTAACATCTTGACCATAATCCTGTGAAGATGCAAGTACTTTTTTCACTCTATAAAAAAAAAAGATTTATATAAAAAATTTAAAACCTCATAGTTTTATTGTTAAATATTATTATTATTATTATTAATATTATTAATAAATAATATTATTTATTATTAAACTATCACTAAATAGTTATAACATTCATGTTACTATTAATAAATATGTTGCTATTAATAAAGATTAAAAGTTTTAATACCTAATTATTTCAAAATTATTTTAAATATGAAAATAATATGAAAACTAATACCTAATCCAAGACTCCTGATCATCTATATCTCTATAGTATTGATATAATGCAAAACTGGATTCCAACATATTCTTTCGGTTGGAAGCAAGTATCTTTAAACTATATTTGAAACACACACACATATATATACAATTATATATATATATATATATATATATATATATATATATATATATATATATATATATATATATATATATATATATATATATATATATATATATATATATTTGGCTCTTTGCAAGTTTTGAAAATTAGTGTTTAAAAAATGAGCTTAATAAACAAATGAAACTTAAAATAAAATCAAAAATAAACAAACCATAAAATAAAACATAAAACTAAAAACTAAAAAAAATACAAACCTAAACTTAGAAAAAAAAAATTTTCTTTTAAAAAAAAGCAGAAATAAAATAATTCATTTTCGCTTCTTCTGAGAAGGCTTATATATATGAGGTTGCCAATAATTTGCCGACCTCAATCTATTAAAGGTCGGCATCAGGTCAGCAAAAAAAATTTAATACAAAGGTCTTACCATAAAACACAGAAACGAGGTCAGCAAAATTTTTCCAACCTCATTTACCTTAAGATTGGTAGTGGGTATTGCTGAATGCCAACCCTAATTCCGAGGGTTGATTTATATATATATATATATATATATATATATATATATATATATATATATATATATATATATATATATATATATATATGTATATATATACATATATATATGTATATATATGTATATATATGTATATATATGTATATATATATATATATATATATATATATATATATATATATATATATATATAAATTAGTAAAAACCTTGTATCAATTTTTTTCTTTTTACACAGTGGTTTCATCAATAAAGATTCATCAGAAATGAATAATCAAATTAATAAACACTATACTAAAATTTAAATTACAGGAAGTCATAAATGTTTTAAAAATTTTATGTAATTTATTAAAGGATATTTTTCAAAAGATGTAGTACTTAAATGTTCTAATACGTGTACATTCTACAATGTTTATCATTGTTTATTACTTAGAATAAATCTAAGTTCCTTGTTTTTGCAGACAGAAAAAAGTTTCTATATTAATTGCACATTCAGATACTGATTACACTCTAATATCTCAATTACAGATGGTTCCTACTTTCAATGATTCTTCAATGAATGCTGTTTTATATGCATGCACATTTCGTTTTTTTATACATCTGATAGCTAAACCAATAGTATTTACCTCTCTTTCTAGCTTGATTGTAAAGGATTTATTCTGTTCTATTCATAAAATCAGCTTTAAGTTCCTTATACTTCTTAAAAATTTTAAGCACAAGTGGATACTCAATGTTCATCGATTCATGTGATTGCTATCAAAATATTAAAAAAATTATTTCAGCTTTAAATTTAGCAATCTTTTTGAATGTTGACCTGTAAATTGCTGCTTGACTTGGGATTAAAATACCATCAGATGTCATCATGTGACAATAATTGCTTTCAAATTATAGCAACTTTATTTGTTGATACAAATGTGAACCAAGTTGGTCCCAATTATAATTTTTTTGTATTTTCTGGTTAGTGGACAAGTATTCTAATTTTTATCTTCATATTCACAATCTGCAGTTATGTTGGCATTAGACACTTTGAGTACCCTGCTTTTTACTTGTTGATGGTAAACTTGCTTGTCTTAAGTGTAAGCCAAGCAAGTTTACCATCAGGATTACCATCAATTGACCATTGACCACTGACCATTAATTTTATTAAAATCAAAAAAGTTAAAATCAAAAAATCAAAAAAGTTAAAATCAAAAAATCAAAAAAGAGCATCATAATTTACCATAAAAGATGTACAATATTGTTAAATAAATCAATCAAGCCTGTACAAGTGAAAAAATGTGGACATTACAACTCAAAACTATCCAAGCATTTTTTAAAAATTCTATGTAACTAATGATAATAAGTTTTAAAAACAAATGTTTTGACTTTAAATTTTATTGTTTAATTTGTTATTTAACATATTTGCTTTTACTAGTTAACAAATATAAATATGTAATTATTGAATTAAATATGTAAATATTGTATAATAAAGATTATAGTACCAAGTTAACAATAAAAATACAATAAGTTTTTCAAAAGATCTAGTATTTAAATGTTCTAATCCGTGTATTTTGTACAATGTTTATTATTGTTTATTACTTAGAACAAATCTAAGGTCCTTGTTTTTGCTATTAAATAAAGCACAAAATGACATTTACTAAAAAAATATTAAAATCAGAAATTGAACATGAAAAAAGCAAAAAACATTTCTATTGCTTACTTGTTGAACCGCATAACAATATTGTCAGTGGTTTCTAATATTTTAGAGGCATCAAAATGTTTGACTTCTACAAAATGTTTACAGAGTACTTGCAGCATAACTATGCGTTCTTCATGAGCAAAAATATCAGCTTCTGTAAACTGATGTTTTTTTAAAAGATTCTGGACATCCGAAAGATTAGAACCACAATTAGGCGAAGACAAAACTTTCTCAATCTAAAAACATAAAATTGAAAAATTTTAGAATTTTTAATTAATCATAAATGTAAATCAAATGTCGTATTTTTAATTTTCATATTTTTTTTTTCCTAAAAATTCTCTTAACTCAGCATTAATCATTATAAAAATAACAACCTCTCCAAGCCAAAAATCAAGATCTTGTGCATCATGTGAAAAGGCTTGTTGCTCACTAGCTTCCAAAAGTTTTTTGGTTTTTATTTTACAGCATTCACAAAGTGTTCTCCATGTTGACTCTATGTTATCTAACCTTTCTTTAATATGTTCTTCACTTCCTTTACACTTGTTCTGTTTAATTAAACCTAAAAATAAAAAAATAAATTGACAGCATTTTAGTAAAAAATAATAAAAAAATTTGTAAAATTGTAAAACCCAAATGCAAATATATTCTAATTCCACTTAAATTTTTGAAGTTTTGTTTAAGTTGGACCATTATTTTGAAAAGATGCTTTTTATACTTAAGTCCACAAAATAATTATTTTTGCCTGATTTAAGTTGTTAAAGCAAAAATAATTCCAATAAGCCAGTATCGCTGCTTTCATTAAGAAATAGTAATTTTATTTACTATTTATTAATGTATCAAGTAAAAGTTTTAAATTAAAAAAAAAACAATCTATCTTTATCAAAATTTCAATGATGGCTGTATTTAAGGTTAAAAATTGAAAAATTAAATTGGATAGGTGATAGTAGTAATATGGCAGTATCAATAAATATAGTAAATACAAATACCATTTCCAATACTAACAGTACTGAGAACTCTGTCTTTATTAGATGATACCTCTGCTTCTAATGCCTGATGCTTTTGCAATTTTCCCTTAAAGTTAATATTATATAAGATATATAGATGTTTTTGCAATTTTCCCCTAAAATTAAGATCATATAAGATATATAGATGTTTTTGCAATTTTTCTAAAAAATAAAGCTGAAAATAATAAAAATAACTAATAATCTAAATAAATTAATTAAAAGTTATTTAAGTCACCTAAAAATGATCTAGATACCTGAATATTTGATGGGTCCATATATGATTCATCTAACGCAGATTGTAACTTTTCACTTATCCAAGATTCAATATCATCCAAATCTTTGCTTACTGATTGCAGGGATTGAGATTCCCCCAGTTTTGATCTTCTATCTACTAAAGCTTCTTTCAATGTTTCCCATCTTGAAAATAAAAAAGTAACAAATTTAATGTCCTATAGTATTAAATTATAAACAAAATGAACTATCAATCATGAAACAGAAATTAAAAAATATCAAACCTGGCCATGACAGCTACAATTCTTGAACTAATAATTTCATTATTGTAATGTTTTGCATTAATCAAGTCTTCTGCTGTTTGTTGCAACACTTGAATTTTACCCTCCTATTAATTTTAAAAATGTGAATTACTTTTCTTGTTTTTCAGTTTTTTAACATCTTGATATTTAAAAATATTTTATGGTTAATCAGCCCTCAGAATCCTCAGGTCTGAGGGATGGTTAATAGTATTGTGTTAATTACAAAATTTCTTTAAAAAAAAAATTTGTACTAATAAAGATATTTTCTAAAAAAAAAGAAAAAAATTTTTAATATAAACTATTAAACAAAAAGTTGGTCAAGTCGTAACTGTAAAAAATTGTAATAAATCATGAGAAAAATAAAATAAAAGAACAGGTTTTAACAGTCAAAATAAATTTAATCAACTTCAAGCATATAAATAAATTTATTATAACAATATTTTTTAACAATAGTTTTATCACAACAACAGAAAATAAATGTACACTAAGTTTTAATTAACAATCCAACAAGGTATTCTAAAGCTCATTAACCAATAGTAAAAATAATATAAATTCAGCTAAACTTAACGAATAATGCACCTTTCTCTAATGCAACTAGAGGTAATGAACTAAGCAACATTTTAAACTAATTACCAATTTTTATTTAAAAAACAAATTGAATCATTCTTTCTTTTTATTATTATCATCATATAATTTCTATTAATAATTTTAAACTTTTTTAATAAAGAATATTCATACTGCAAAATGAATTCTATGAAAATGATAGAAGGGAAAATCTAATTTCTTGTCTCATTTTTTTCTAAACTGATGGATCATGACAACCACCTTATTATTAACAATATACTTGTATTCAATATATTCAATTCAATTCAATTATATCAAATATATTATATTCAAGATACATTAAATTCAAGACAATAGATTTAACTTATCAATAACAATAACAATAACAACTTTTCTAAAGGTATTAAACTGTTTAATTTAATCAATACAAGACCATATTTATTTAAACTATGTACATCAAAACTTGTGTATCTTATAGTTCCACATAAAGTCCACTTATCAAAAAAAGTTAAATTTTTTTTTAATAATAGTTAAATGTAACCATGGAACCATGTAACCATGGAACCATGAGGAAATAAAACTCTGATTTAAAACCTTAGAAGAAATTATTAGCAGTAAAAAGAGCATGTAAACCATGGATGATAATCTCATTAAAAGTCACAATAATAACACTTGGCATTGAATACTTGTAACCTGCGGTAGTGGTGTTGATTGAATACTTGTAACATGCGGTAGTGGTGTAGTGGTAGAGCGCTCGCTTCATAAACGAGTGGTTCCGAGTTCGATCCCCACCACGTCCCTGGTAGTACCGCGCTCAACTCGTTTCTCCGCGCAGCGGCCTTGTTCGTCAAGGTTCGTGTTTCGGAGTTATAGAGTTGAGAGAGGGTTATAGCCACAAATAAGTAGCCTCCTCGTCTGTAGTGGCCTTCTCGGCCTTGAGGAGGTGAATTAAAATAAAAAAAAAAAAAAAAAAAAACCTGCAGAATAGGTTCAGAGAATTGTAAGAAAGAGTTGAGAATTGTAAGAAAATGTTTTAACTCTTTAATGTCATATATGAAGCAAATAGCATTATTGAAAATTATCCAAACCCCACAAGTGTGGAACTAATTTTTATAAAAATAAGAAGAAAAAAGCTCTGGAACAATATTTCATTTGATTGACCTTCTATAATTTATAACATTTACTTTATCAGATATCAACAGTCAGGGATTTTTTAGACCAAAAAATTAATCTGCAGATTTGAATATCTTTACTTTTAGTTAAATTTGCAAAAAGGATCTGACCTTTGACTGTTAAACATATATCAATTTGACTATGCTGGTCAAAAAACATACCAAGGAAAAAAAAATATATCTTTAAAAACTTGTTAAAATGCACTTTTTTTACTTTTAAAATCAAAAGTTTTATAAAAAAGGAAATAAATATGATTTTTTTGAGTAATAGCTTGACCTACATTTTAAGAAAACTTTTTTTACATACATATTAGGGACCCTTTAAATGTTCAAGGGACTTGGGGCACCACTAAAAATATTATTTGCGTAAAAAATATTTAAATCTAGTGTTATTTTATTATAAAGAATGCATTAAAGAATAAGGTTGACAAAAAATTGCCGACCTAAAACTGTATTAGGTCAGGTAAATGTGCAAACATTAAAATTGACAGAAAAACAAATAGTTCAATGACTATTATTATACAAAAACATGTTGATGTTTGCTTAAAAATATGTTGATGTTTGCTTAAAAACATGTTGATGTTTGCTTAAAAGCATGTTGATGTTTGCCTAAAAACACATTGATGTTTGATTAAAAACATGTTGTTTGCTTAAAAACTTGTTGATGTTTGCTTAAAAACATGATGTTTGCTTAAAAACATGTTGATGTTTGCTTATAATTATGAAAAACAAATGCAGCATGTTACCATTTTATTAGAAATTTAAATAAAATATCAATTTTGGTGGTTTTATTTTGGATTATTTTATTTAGAATTTATAAAAAGTTTTTTTTTTCGTTTTTATTTAAGTGTATATATTTCATAAAAAAGATAAAAAAAAAAAAAAAAAAAAAAAAAAAAAAACATTTAATAAATGTAATATTTTCACTACAACAACTTAAAAACTAGGTCATTAATCAATTGCCAACCTTAGTTACCATCATGTCATCTATTATCACACAATCCACAGCTGATAAAAAAGAGGTTTATTTGTGTAAGGATATTAAACTACAAACCTGAATAGCTATGGCTTTTTCAAAATCTTTTTGTTTCTTCATTAGCACATCAGTTGACTCATTGTCTTCATTTTTCAATGAAGTTTCTCTTGCTGCCATCCAAGATTCTGCAAGTTCTGCATCTCTATTAAAAAGCATCTCATCCATATTTTCATCTAAGGTTTTTTTACGTTTGTTCCACAATCTAAAAATATAATTATTGATACATTACTAAAGAATTAACTGTGGTCTTGCAATAAATAAAAATTTTTGTCTGACATCAAATGGAAATTAATTTAAAATAACAACAAAAACTAACTAAAAAATAAATACTAAAGTTGTTTAATCAAATTGAAAAAAAAATCAAAAATTTTTAGATTTGTTTAATCTAACACCTTTAAGTATTTTATAATTACATTTCTTATAACCACCTAAAATAAAATAAAAATTCAAATATTCTCCCTGTCTAAAGGTCTCTTTGCTATAGTATAGTATCAAAGTATAGCCATAAATTTTCTAGTTCCAGGAAACATCCCAAAAAAAAATTTGCTATAAAATGTGTTTTAAAAATAAAGCAATAAAATATTTAAATCTATAATAATATTATTATTTATAATAATAATATATTTTATTTTATGTCTTTGATATCAGTTGGGCATTCAATAAGGTTTTTTTTTGACAACATATATTCAACATTACAATATTTAATAATACTATAATAAAATTATAAAATTTAAAACAAATCTATATTATCAACATACATCTCTAGATGTTCTCTGCTTGTTTTTATCTCCTGAATTTTCTCAGCTATTTCAAGGGAATTACAATGTTTTTCCTCTATCAACCTTTCACCAAATGCATTAAAGTTGTCAAATGTAAGCTCATGAGAATCCATTTCAAACTTATGTTCCTAAATATAATTTTGGAACAACAAAATTTTTTTATCAACTCATAATTTCTATAACAAGTATAGATTATTACATAAACAAACTTGGTTAAAAAAAACAAAATTTTGTTATCATTTAAAAAAGTTTATACTATTGTATGATATTTGATATATTGAATATTAATACAAATAAAGTAGATGATTGCAATATATGGACAACTTAAATATTTGGAACTCAAGAAGAAATTTTAAAACTATACAAACAACTAGAGTATGAACTTAGAAATAAGAACTCAAGAATTAAGAACTAAGAATTAAGAACTCAAGAATTAAGAACTTAGAAATAAGAACTCAAGAATTAAGAACTAAGAATTAAGAACTCAAGAATTAAGAACTAAGAATTAAGAACTCAAGTAAATATTTAAATTTATCAACAACTCAAGTAAATATTTAGAATTTATCAACAACTTAAGAAATTTAAAATATGAGTTAATATTTTAAAAATTTCAACAAAAAATATGCAAAACAATCATTGTTTACTTTTCTGAGTATAATTAAGTAGAACAATTAATATGAAATTTCTATATAAAAACAGTAATCAAACTAACAAAAAAAAAAAAAAAAAAAAAAAAAAAAAAAAAAAAAAATTCACCTGATGTCTATCTAGCATAGCTTCAGCTTCCACAACATCTGATGCTAGGTCATCAGATGAAACTAATGAATTAATACTTTGAATCCAAGATAGCTGATCTCTGTTAATTTAGAAAAAAATGATTTATATTTGAGGATATTAAAAAAATTATTATTAATTAACCAATAATAATTAAACAATCACCGATAATCATTAAGAAATTTCTGGAAAGCATACGATTCATTCAACTTTGCTTTTCTTTCATTAGCTTTTCTCGTTAGCTCTGACCAATTTTCAGTTAAGTCATTAAGCTTTTCTTTTATTAAATCAGCAGATGTTAAATGGTTGTCCATGAGCTTTCCAGCTTCTGCATTAAGTGAATTAACCTGTAATAATTATAATAGATAATTAAAAAATCATAAAAAAAGTTAAAAATTCTGATAAATTTATTTTAAACAAAAAAACCTTTTCTTCCAATGCAGCTAAGTCTCTTTCTAAGACCTCATGTTTTCTTTGCAATGACTGAACACTTGCAAGATCTTTACCATAGTCTATTGATGATAATGAAATACTTTTTTCATCTATCCAAGCCTTGGCATCATCAGCATCACTATAAAGAAACATATACACATGAAATTAGTAGAAGACACATTACATGAATAAATATATAGAAAACAATTTAAAATAATTTTGAGTTTATAATTTTCAATTTAAAAACTATTATTTATATATATTTATATTAATTTTAAAGTAAAACAAATTAAATTTTATTTGTGTTATTTTCAACACTATGTTAAACAATAATTTAATTTTTTTAATGCTAATTCTATTGCTACTTGTTAAGTAAATTTTTATTTACTATTCATTTAATGTAATTTTATTCACTACCTTTTAGGTATATTTAGATGTGCAACACTATTAGTTACCAGTAGTTTTAGCTGTTTAATGTGTAACACTGAAAAAGTATTTTTAAGCTTGTGTATCTAAAAATACTGTTGGGCTAACAAACCATTCAACACTACAAAAATTATTCAAGAAAAATGTCAGCTTGCTTAAAAATTTAAAAATTATATAAAATTAAGGGAAAAAATATATATATTTCACATGACAAATTTCTTTATATAGTAATTTAATTTGTCTTGTTTCGTTAACATAGCTTTGTTTCTTATTAAAAAAAAATTCATTAAAGGAAAATTAACATACTAAGTACACTCCCTACATGTTCTACCTATTTGTCAGTGAATGTATGTATACTCCTTACATGTTCTACATATTTTAGTAAATGCATATTCTACCTACTTAATACTCTCATATTCTACCTACTTAACGTATGTCATGTATGTACATTCTACCTACTTAATGTATGTCATGTACATTCTACCTACTTAATGTCATGTATGTACATTCTGCAGTCAATAAAACAAAAATAAAAAAAGTAAAAAAAATAAAACAATTATAATTGAAGAATAAAAACGGTAGAGTACCACAAACTGTACGCAAAAGCATGTATCGAAAAAAACTAAATATCTTCACTAAAAATAAAGATATTTGCAAAATTTAAAAAAGTTTTCAATTTTTAGTATGTGGAAAATTATAAAATTTCAAAAAAAATTATTCAGATGATTGCTTTAATAAGATATTTAAGTTCAAACAAAATCTAACCCTAAAAATTTGAAAAGAGCTATGAACACTTGAAATGATAAAAAATCAAGAAAAAAACTATAAACTGAATGTACCCTTTACAGATTCCAGTTACATAAGCATAGTAAATAATTAGAGATTTAAATATTCTAGGAAAATATTGTTTAGACTTTGAAAAGAGCTATGAACACTTGAAATGATAAAAAATCAAGAAAAAAACTATAAACTGAATGTACCCTTTACAGATTCCAGTTACATAAGCATAGTAAATAATTAGAGATTTAAATATTCTAGGAAAATATTGTTTAGACTTTGAAAAGAGCTATGAACACTTGAAATGATAAAAAATCAAGAAAAAAACTATACAACTACAGCCCTCGGAATTAGGGTCAGCAATCAGCAATGCCGACCTAATCGACAAAAAGTGTTTGAAGTCCACAAAAAATTGGTGACCTATTTCTATGTTTTATGGTAATCCCATTGTGTCAAACTTTTTTTATCATGCCAACCTCTTACAGATTAAGGTCGGCAATAAATTACTGACCTCATTTTTTCTAATTCCAAGAGTCTCAACTGAACAAATTAGAGTCAAACAAATCAGCTATAGAAATTTAGATGAAAGTAGTATTAAAACTTCTCCGACAAGAATAACAATTTGAGGAGAAAATCAAATGAAAATGATTAAAAAACTAGTACCAGATAGTAAGTGACTGGGTTTGATATTTGACTGGAGCCAGGTTCAATAAAATAAAGCCAGGGCTGGGGCCGGTTTGATAAAATAAAGCTGGGGCTGGATTTGTGACTGGGGCCGCATAAACAATTATACATCCTAAAGTATACTTTTTTAATTCAAAATTCATGTCATATTTTGTATATAAATGCATATATATAAATATCATTATGATCAACATGATTATCATAATCATCATTTCCATCATGATCATGATCATTTATATCATTATCATTATCATCATCATCATCATCATCATCATCATCATCATCATCATCATCATCATCATCATCATCATCATCATCATCATCATCATCATCATCATCATCATCATCATCATCATTATCATCATCATCATCGTCATCATCAGGCTTTAGCCTTCCTCTTTTATGCTGTTTTCTTAATATAAACAATCTAGAGCATTTTCTTTCCTTTACTAAACCTCATTTATACAATATATAAGGTACTTTCTTAAAGTTTTTTTTACTTCTACTACTACCATTTTCTCCTGAGGTTGCTACCTCTCTACATGCTGATACCTAAATCACTATAATCTTCTCTGAAAAACGTTCAACAGTGTCATAAACTAAAGTAAGCCTAACATTTAAACTCTAATTCACGGGTCTGATCTTTTTACTTCTCCCCAAAATAAGGCAGAGTTTTTTGCAAAGATATTCTTACTCTAATTTAACTCTTGAATGCCAGATAAACAGATTAACTCATTGTTAAACTTCCAAATCACTCTGACTTCCAATGCTCAAGTTAATTTTCAATTAAACACTTACACAGTTTGTGTTCCAGACAAGATTACCATCATAGTCTTAAAAATGTGTTCTCCAGAATTCTCTTTAATCTTTGCTAGACTTTTAAAAAGTGCTGAATAATTAGATCCAACTTTTTAAAACTCTAGAAAACACTTTGACCTCTCTAACTATCCTATGATTAGTCTTCACTCTTTTTTAGTTTATTTATATAAAGTTTTTGAGATTATTAAATTATTTCTTTCTAACTGCATTAATAAGGTTATTCTTGAAGACCTACACTCTTTTTTATTTCAAGTAACTATAAGGGTACCATAAGGTTTTATCTTTGCTCCTGAATTGTTTTTTATCTACAATAACAATCTTCATGAAAATTTTACAACTAAAGCACTTCCTTTTGCTGACGACTCAACTTTATACTTAACTTATCTTGACAAAAAAATCTTTACTTTTTGAACAAGCAACCAATTTTTAATCTGATCTCTCGTCAGTAACAGCCTAAGGCTTGCAGTGGCTAGACTTAAGATCCACAATTTTTGTCAGACAAAAAAACCCATTTATTGCAAAAAAATATTGCAATATTGATGGCATTCCTATATTGACAAATAACCCTCTTATTTTCAGACAAAGTCTAAAAGCACATTGCAAATGTAGTTAGACCTACTTTATCTGCCAAGCTTGAGCCACTCTCCCATTGTTGTAAGGTTGCATTTCTTTCTTTTTTCTACAAATACTATTATGGTCAATGCTCAAACAAGCTATCGTCTCTATTACAATAAACCATAACTTATTCCACTTGGCTTCTTATTCAACAAGTTGCATCCTTTTACTGTATCTGTCCATTCATGATATAAAAACTTTTATTAATCTAGTTTTTTTCCTTGTTCATCAAAAAAGCTTTATAACTCTTCCCCGTCTTCATGTTTTCCTTTTTAATACATCCTACAATTTTTAAAGCCTTCGTTAACAATTTTTTTTCTAGTATTTTACCTATTTTACCTTTCCTCTATTATAACTTATAGCTTAATAGTGGTTACTTGCAATCTTGTTGGAAGTAAAATAGAGTTTAAAAATATATAAATATATGCCTGTATATAATAAATAGTAAATGTAAGTATAAAATTATAATACAAAATTTATTATAATTTTTTTTCTAGCCCCGGCTATCAACTCCTGCTAAATCCTATAATTTTGCTGGGCCAGGCTTGCAAAAAGTCTAATTTTTAACCGGGGCCCCAGTCACTTACTAGTACCAGTGCTAGAAGAATATTTCTAAACTCATTTTAATGAAACAAAATAAAAAATAAAATTGCAAACATGATTTTGAAAAATATATGTAGTTTAAAGTGCATCTTTCAAAAATGTACACTTAAAAACAAATAAATGCAAAAATCACTATACATAAAAGATATTAGTATTGTGCAAACCAAAATGTGAAGTATATTTATGCATGTAAATATGTATATATGTGAACAAAATGTGAAGCAAATTTATGTGTGAATATTGTCTGGGATAGTGCAAAACCGCATAACTTGCATTGAATAATACCGCGTATCTACAGTATATTTTTTTTTCTGGAGAAGTTTAAAACTTTATATATTATTTATTTCAACAGATTTTGGGTTCATTTTTAGTTTTATTAATGTTCTTTGTAATGTCAACAATAGATATTTGGTGTTAAAATTGTTAATATCCAAATATAGTAGCCAAAGCTAGTTACGCGGATTTGCACTATCCCCAAAAATATGTATATATGTGAATAAAATGTGAAGCACATATTTATGTATGTGAATATGTATATAAGTGTGAAACTTTGCATTATGTGTAGTAAGTGTGTGTATAAATACATTTACCGATGGAACTTGTGAATTTCACTAGAACTCTCTAAAACTTTTTTCCGGTGTGAAGCATTCTCTAACATTTTGCCCCATTGCTGAGAAACATTCTAAATATGAAATAATAACTTTTCAAAAAACTAAGCAAAATTCTTCATTAAAAAAATTATACAATTAATTATAATGACATCTTTAGACTACCTCAAGAACTGCATTTACTTTTTCATATTCACTTGCATTTTCTTCTTTAAGTTGAGAGCACAACAATCGCAACTCTGTAATTCTTTGTTCTTGAGAAACCATATTCTACAAAATTATTTTTACATTTTACATTTAACAAATTGCTTTTGTCCACTATTAGTTTACAATATTTCATAGGTCAATTTATTATCTTTTTTTATTTGATTGGTCATTGACCAATCGTCAATTTATTATCAATATTTTGTAGCATAATAGTAATTCCAACTTATTTTTGAATAATTTAGAAAAAAATTTTTTTTTTTCAAATTGAATTTAATTATGTTAATTTTTTTTTTCTAATTAAATTTAATTATGATGCAAACCTTTTCAAACTCATCATACTTCTTCTGAAGAGCTTCAACATCATCCATGTCAACTCCAACTTCCGAGCACATGATAACAGCTTCCTAAATGACAGTAAATATTTCTCATACAAATAATTATAACATAATAGCTATGTTTCAATAAAAACTAAATTGATACCGAATCCTGAATCCAGGATTGAATCTGCTTAACTTTGCGCAACATTGCATTCTTTTTTATAGACTCTTGCAACATAATATTTCTTTGTTGAGCATTAGTAATTAAATCATTGTACCTTAATAAAATATGTTACAATTAGAAAAATAAAAATAAAATTAAACAAGGAGCAAAAATGGAATAATAAAATAAAAACCCAGGTGTTTGAACCTTAATCACTTAGTGAAATTTGAAATATGTTTAGAGACATAAGATAAGACAGACAGAAAGAAAAACAAAAAATTTTTTCATAAATTTTTTATCTGTTTAGCTTTTACAGCAATTTCAATTTGACATTGATGTTTTGATATTTATTGAAACTTTTTCCTACTATTGTTTTTTATAGTAAATAATATCTTTATATATGTTATGTATATAACATCAATAGAAATATAAAAAATATTTTATTTTGTGTTTTAGAAAATTGGAAAAGATTTAAAAAAAATAAACTAATGTACAGGAGACAGAATTTGAACTCTCATGCTGTACTTTGGAAGCAAAGCAAGCTAACCACTTCGGTCACTTTAGGCAATTTTTAAATACGAGTAAAACTTTAGAAGTGCAAGGATTTGAACCACAGCATTTCACATCAGAATGCTACAAACTAACCACTTCAGCCACTAAGGCATATTGTTCGATGAATGCCTTAACACTATTTAATAAACAAAATACTTTATAAATTAGCAAATAAATCAAAATTAAGAAGATTTTGCAGCAATTTTGCAGCAATACAATTTTAAAGTAAAAGTAAAACTGTAAAACTTGATGTTTTAACATTATGCAATTTGAAGTTTACATAAGTTAGATATTTGCATACACTTTTGTTCACATTTTCTTATTAAAAAGTACTGTGACTCTTTCTTGCAATAAACTCAGGTGTAATGGCTGCTATGAGTTCTGTTTAAACATGCACAAATGAGTAATGGCAGCAGCATTAAATTTGATAATAAAATATTTTAAGATATGCACACACAATCATGAAATTTTTATTTTTAAATATGAGCATAATTATATAATTATGCTCATATTTTAGAATAAACAAATAATAATATAATTTATGTAAGTTATATCCGGTAGTGGTATGTATGTTATATCCGGTAAGTTTGTTATATGTATGTTATATCCGGTAAGTTATGTAAGTTATATCCGGTAGAGCACTTGTTTCATAAACTTCATAAGTGAGCCCAACCTGTCAATGTAGAATGATAAAATATTTATCGAAAAGCTAGAGTAAGAATGAAAATGATGAAAGTTTAAATATTGTTAATGAAGAATATTTTGAAAAACAGTTGTTTTAGTAATGAGTATATAGAAAAAGAAAATTCATTTGATAAAATGATAGTATTGCTATCAAACAAAATTGTAGAGTCTACATCAACATCTAAAAAAATAAAGCCAAAAACTCTTGCTCTAACTGACTGGTCGATAAAAAACGTTTTTCGAATTTGTTGTTTAGCATGTAATAAACTATGTGGCTAGAACTATACACAAGTTAGCATTAGAATCGTATACAAGTTAGCATTAGAACTGTACACAAGTTAGCATTAAAACTGTAAACAAGTTAGTATTAGAACTGCACACAAGTTAGCATTAGAAAAAGTTATTTTAGCCATCCCCAATCCTATATTCAGAAATTTTTTTTGTGATATAACAGTTCGGCTGGTCAAGTCTATTTATATTATAAACATAGTTCCTGGTAAAAAAGACTACATTTGCTTAAAATGTTCACATACAAAAATTTTTGCTCGTGTAATTTAAAGGAACTGTTTATTATCTCCAAAACCAAGAACCCAGAAATAAAAATAAAGTTTTCAAGGTTTTGCACATTTGACACCAAAATAATGTATTACTATTGATGCTTCAGAAACATATTTTGCATGTGCATGTTTAATCAGAACTTAAAACTGCTTTTACAAAAAGTTTGTGACAAAGAATTGTTTCCTATTTATTGTGTGTGAAATGAATAACAAAGATTGTATAATACAGAAATTTAAAACTATGGCGTCAACAATGAAACTAAAACAAATCTACCTCAAAAAAATGAAGGATATTTCTCAGATGGGTGCGCAGGTCAATATAGAAAACGCGAAAAAATTTTAAATGTTTGTTTCCATAATGATGATTTCGGTTTTTTTTGCTAAATGGAACTTTTTTTAAAATAGTCACGGTAACCTTGCCATAAGATTAGTACAGTCAAACACAGCAACATTAGGAAGCTTGCAAAGAGATACAGGTAATCAAATTTTATCTCCACAAGCAAATATTGCAATAAAAATATTGAAGGTACATATTTCATTTACATCAAAAAATTCAATTTTTGGGAGAAGCACTTTTAAACAATTAGATAATGCAAACACTATACCTGAAATATTTAGTTACAATCTGTTTGTACCACTTGACCATCAAAAGGGAAAAAACATTTTCTTATTATACCTATTATTATCTTTGAAAACATCATGCATGTTGAAAGCATTATTTTGAATTGATAAACTTAACTCAAATATATTTTTTGGGGTTCACAGTTTCTTTATAACTTGAATGAAACATTTGTTTAACAAAATAAGTAAAACTGTATAAACGATGCTACTATTTTGTCTATATAATCACAAACCGATGCTGATGAAGAACTAGATTAAACTCTTTACCCAGGTAAAAACTGTAAACTTAGTGCCAGGTGATTATGCTTGTGTTTCCTATGAGCAAAAGTGTTGAATAAGAGTTATTGAAGACATTAATGCTAAAGAGAAAAACACCCTCATCAAATTTAATGCCAAAACAGTCCTATGAGGTCATTTAAATGACCACCAGTGGACAGCCAATATTGGATTCCAGATGTCCATATCATTTTCAAAATCAAAGAACAAAAACTTTGCTTGTTGCTATTACTTAGCAACAAGCAAAAAAAAATTTAAGAAAAAACTTTTAAACTTCAAGTTTACTTAGTAAATGCATACTTTTTTAAAATCTTTTTTTTAAACTTTATTTTAGTAAATTTATAATTAATGCAAAATATATAAAAATTATTAAAATTGAGTGTTTCTTTTTCAAATATATCTTTTTGAACCTTTTAATTTTATTGTAAATATATATATATATATATATATATATATATATATATATATATATATATATATATATATATATATATATATATATATATATATATATATACATATATATATATATATATATATATATATATATATATATATATATATATATATATATATATATATATATATATATATATATATATATATATATATATATATATATAATATTAGCAAATTCACTCAATTGTCATTTTCTAATTTAATTAATTGTGTAAAATTAAATTAAATAATTAACTAATCTAATTTGATTAATAGGTACAAGGTGATGATAGATCAAGTATCTGGTATTTGATTAATAGGTACAAGGTGATGATAGATCAAGTATCTGATATTAAAAATATCATAAACTTATGTCGAAGCCAAAAGAAATTTTCTCTGTAATGTAAATTATGTAACATAGATTATGTAATGTAGATATCTTGTCTTGCAACAACACTGAACTTGTTTCAATACTAAACTTGCTACAACACTGAACTTGTTACAACACTGAACTAGTTACAACACTAAACTAGTAACAACACTGTTTTGCAACAACACTGAACTTGCAACAACACTAAACTTCTTATAACATTGAATTTGCAACAACCCTGAACCTGTTACAATACTAAACTTGTTATAACAATAAACTTGCAACAACACTGAACTTAACGCACCACCTTAAGAAACAACACTTTTAACAGGTCTTCCTGATTTTATTATTTACTCAGCTACCTTGCCTTTGTTTAAATCAAATTTAAAAAGTACAATGTTCATATTAACTTACTATATTGCAATCTTTATATTAACTAGAGATGTACTGGAATTCCGTTTTTCTAAATTTGTTTATTTTTTACTTTTTTTTAAGACATGTGAAACAGACTGTGTAAATTAAATCAAAAAATAATTGTCCTACAGGGCAACGAAGAACTATAGGTAAACCTAGGTAAAAAATACAAATTTCTTAACAAACACAATGTAATTTTAATTGCAGTTCCAGCCGGAATTCAAAATTTTGAATATGGTACACCCCTAATAATAACTTACTATACAGAGCACTATATTAACTTGTTTTTGTCAGTGCTAAATTAGAGTAATTTTGATATTACTTTCATCATTTTTATTTTTTTCTTAAAATGCAAATAAATCAGATAATAATTATAACAATAACAGGTACCAGAATAATTTAAATTTATCAGTTATTAATTTAATTCAGTTAAACTCATCAAAAAGATACTTAAGGGATTTGAAATATTTATTATTTAGCAGAAAAAAATGAATGAAATATATTTTTTTAATAGAAAGTAAAATTAATACAGTCATTAAAATTAATATAGTCTAAAGTAGCATATAGTAAAATTATAGTCAGTGAAGTTATTGCAGTCAATAAATTTAATATAGTCTTTAAAATCAATATAGCCAGTAAAATTAACCGAGTCAGTAAAGTTAATATAGTGAGTAAATATTTTTGTAAATATGCTTTTGAGTCCAACAGTTTTTTACAAAGAAATAGTCAACCTTTTATTTAACTTTTCTTGACGACTTGCAATACTTTCAGTCTCGGTAATATTTGACAAAATGTCTTGAGATGCTTTGAATGAGTCAACTTTTTGCAAACATTCTTTTGGAACAAACCCTTGGCGGTCATCACTTTCAACTTTCCACCATTCTCTATTAGAGCTGTTCAATAATGTTAAAATCTGTCCTTTTTCTATAGAAATTTCATGTGGATTTTTTTCATCGTAGTTTTGTATAACTTCAACAACTTCTTTATTAGACAGGTCACCAAATATAAATGGCTTAAAAATAAATGGACTTATTAAAAATTTACCACATAAAAAAATACATAATAGTTAATAAATATATTATCGAATTTTCCAAATTTCCAAACCATTACAAAAATTTCAAAATTGATATTATTAAATATAAGTTGTCACAACAAACAGTGACAACTTATATTTAATAAATTAAAATAATTCTTTAATGAAATAGAAGTATTAATAATCTTTTTTTCATGCAATCTTTAATTAAACTATACATACATACACACATACATATATATATATATATATATATATATATATATATATATATATATATATATATATATATATATATATATATATATATATACACATATATATATATATACATATATATATATATATATATATATATATATATATATATATATATATATATATATATATATATATATATATATATACATATATATATATATATATATATATATATATATATATATATATATATATATATATATGTATATATATATATCAGAGATGTACACTTGTGGTCACCCGACAGTACCAGACAACCTAAATTTGTGAAGGGTGACTAAATATATTCCATTAATATAATTAAGTTGCCCGAAAGGGTGACTATTGATTTTTATTGTCAGTTTATTTTTTTTTTAATTCAAGAATTCTATAAAAAGAAAAGTATCCAAAATAATAATAAAACTATATTTTTAAAGTTACTGTGTCAAAGTTTGATTTCCATATTTTTTATTATTTAATAGAACATAAGAAAATTGCACAAGTATTTAAACATTCTTAATAAACAACTACTTAAATTAAAACTTAAAAACTTTATCTGTTAAAAAAAAAATTCTATTTTATCTTACAAATTTTATTTAAGGATTTAGAGCTGAAGTAATAGAACTTTGCCCCCCCCCCCCCCAAATAAAAAAAAATTTGCCCCCCAAAAAAATACTTTGGCAGGCTTTGTTAAAAAGCATTACACAGCTCGTAAATGTGATTGACAAAAACTTTTATTTTAATAAATATTTAAATTATCACTTATCAGTTGAACATGATGAAATTCAGCACTCTTTAATTGTTAATTACACAAAAACTACTTAACAGATTTTTGTGATTTTTTGACACAATGAAGGTAATTGAATTATTTATTTCAATAATTTTTTACATTTTTTATCAGACGCTTAAATAGAAACCGAATATCTTTGCAAGTACTTGACATCATCTGCTGGATCTTGCTTTTCAATAAGATTCCTTTCATAATTGACCAATAACTTTCAATATTTCGCTGCTCAGGACAATTTGTAGGATTTGCTTCCTTAGGAACAAATTTGATGCCATTTTGTTTGTACCTTTCTAAGGACATCTTGGAGTAGTGAATTGTAGCCAAATCAGGCCAAAATATTGTGGGCATTTCATGCTTTTTAATAAATGGCAAAAGACATTTCTTTAAGCATTTTTTTATATACAAATCTGTGTTCAAAGTTTTATGAGTAATGTATGGTATACAATTTAAGCAACAGGAGCAGATTGCTTGCCAAATAAGGAACTTGAGAGCAAATTTTTCAGTTTGAATATACTTGAATTTTTTGGCAACATATCTACCTTTTGACTGGTAAAAATATTGCTGCTCTGGCAATTGTCGAAAGCCCTTTTTGCAATAGCTTTCATCATCTTTAATTATGCACAAGTTTTCCTGGTTTAAAAGTTTATATAGCTTTTTTAAAAAATGAATTGCTTTAATTTCTGCATCAATGGATAGCTATGGAGTTTTCTTTTTATGATATGCTTTCTATTCTTGAGATCTAAGTATTTTTCCTATCAAAGCTTGGTTGCATTTAAATTTAATCCTAAGATCTCTCTGCGACTGGCATGGATTTGTCTTTCTGGAGCGAATTATTGATTTTGCTTTATATTTATCCTTAAATCCTTTCTTTTTTCCAATTCAAGCTTCTCTTTCAATAGCTTGAGTCTGTTTATATCGCCACAAAATAAATCCAACTGATGATCGCAAAACACCGGTCAATTTTGAAATGTCAACTTTTGACAATGACAGATTTTGTAGAAAATTTTCTAAAACATTTTTTTTCGATTTAATATATTTTTTACTCATTTTAATCTGATAGCAATGATAATCAATTCTTATTACCTTTACAATCAAACAACAACACATTAGTTTCCGTGTGTAGAAATTTTTCAAATTTCTAAAATAGTTTTTGAGTAATTAATGATTAAAAGGTGCTGAATTTCATTGTGTTCAATTGATAATATTGTTTATGTGACATTTAATCAAAAAATATTAGGTCGTAAAAAAAAGCATTTAATTGCAACTGAGAATTTTTTTAAGAAACAAATTTATTTTATAAAAAAAAAATTTAATTTTTAAAAACTTTAAATTAAATATGACTTAAAATTTAAAAATTAAATTTAGTTTTAAAGGAATATAAAATAGTAAAACATTAAATGTAAAATTTAGGATCAAATGAATGTAAAATAGTTTTGCAACTTTAGTTTAAAAAGTTTTTTTCTAATTGTTAGCTAATTTATTACATAAAATATAAATCTCTCCATCATAGATGATCATATTAAGTTTTTATCTAATTGTTAGCTAACTAATTCATTACATAAAATATAAATCTCTCCATCATAGATGATCATATATTGTTATAAGTGAAGAGTAATTAAAAACTTTTTTTTTTGTTATAAAAAAGAAGTGCTTTTGTTTAAGAGAATTCTTTTCACAAATGTATTTTTTATTTCTTTATCCTTTTTTTTTTCTTTCAATATCGTGTAAAGTTCTTTTGACATAATACGCTTGTGAACATAAATTCTGTTCACAAACATCTTTTGGTAACTGATAAAATCTATCTTTAAATTGTTTATAATTTTTATTAAAATTACGTAAAATTATTAAATATGTAAAAATTAAAATTTTTAAATTGTGATAAACAAACAAAAGATTATGTTTAGAATAAGATTGTTTTAGGAAATAAATTATACAAAAATATAATCTTTTTAAAATATCAAATTTAGGTTCCATTAATAATTTTTGTTAAATTAGTTTAAACAATTTTTTCGGCAGTTTAAAATTAAACTAAAATAAAACACTATACATTAAAATTTTTTAAAAATACAAATAGTTTTTATGCTTTTGTAGCAAATAAGACCTTAATATTTACAACAAATTAAAAGCAAAGGGTTTTATAGAATATATTTAAAGAATTTTTTAAATTATTTTTTTATATTTGTCAATACTTTGTTGTAAAAAAGTGTACATATTTCTTTGATTAAATAAACGCTCAATTCAAGTAAAAAGCCTAATGGGGTATATATATATCGGCATGTGCTTTATCTGAAAGTAGAAAAGTGAATGTTATCAATAGTTTACAATATTACTTTTATTTATGCAAATTGTTTTTAGTCTACATTTGGCCCTATAATGAAAATTTAAATTATATCCAAATGTTTTGGTAGGATTATGGAACCATCATCAATATATTTATATACATAAATGTATGTATGTATGTATATGTATGTATATATATATATATATATATATATATATATATATATATATATATATATATATATATATATATATATATATATATATATATATATATAAATATATATATATATATAAATATATATATATATATATATAAATATATATATATATATATATATTATATATTATATATATATATATATTATATATTATATATATATATATATATATATATATATATATATATATATATATATATATATATACATATATATATATATATATATATATAAAAAGATGTAACATTCCTCTAAATAAATTTTTGGATTATATGTTTGATAACGATGATAATTGTTCGGACTCTTCTGTCGGTGGAATGAGTAGTGGAGAAGAGGAGGAGTTGGACGGATGTGGTTGTGATTCACAAACTCAGTAAGTTTTCATACTTTGTTTATTACATATAACATATGTGATATACCACATATAATACAGATATTATTTATTTATAATATATAAATAATATCGTCATGATGATTACTCACATAACCTAAGACAATGTGCTGCTTATGTTTTAGGTTATATACTAATAATAATTATGTTGATGAAATCGAACAAAGTTTATTATCTTCTAAAAGCGTGACTCTAATTATGACAATGAAACTAACATTCCAACAATAAAATTTTGTCCTGAGTCTAGAGATCATGTATTGAGATCATCTGAATCTGTTTAGATGATCTCAATACATGGCATTAAGAAAACAAATTTTGTTGAAAAGGAATTTGAAAAGAAACAGATTTATAGCACTGAATAAGAATCAAAAACCTACCATAAATGCAGATAACAAACCAAAAGTTTCAAAAGGAAGTACATTAAGACATAAACACATAAGAAAAAAATATACAGACATTTTTCATTACCAAAAATCACACCAGCATTGTTCAATATTAAACATAATATACTTTTGAGCATAAATTTGTAAACAAAGTTTCCAAGATAATCTAAACATATTTAAATATTGTAAATAAGCCAGAATGATATATCAAGAGATAGTTAGAGTTTTGACTTATAAATGATATTGGAGTACAAAGTCTCTCTATCATGGTTTATGATCAAGAATCATGACATCTAGAGATCGTTTTGTATCCCTTTTAGCAATGCCGCATATTGTATACCCAAACAGTGAAATTGATAAAACTAACAAGCTAAGAAAAGTTTGGCCAGTAATTGACAAATTCAAAATTAAATGTCAAGAGTTGTATCAGCCCAATCAAAACATAGCTGTTGATGAACGTTTAGTCAAATCAAAACATTGTTCTGGAATTGGTCAATATATCAAAAACAAACCAGTTTTTGATATATTGACAAATTCCATCAATATGGAATCAAAATGTGGATTATTGCAGAACCAAAATCAGGTTATACTTGGGATTTTTTATCATATATATTTTGATAATTCTTATACGTCAGTTTAACTTAGTAAAGGCTTTATACAGAGAAAAAACCTTACTT